CCACACATGATCATCTAGGACACAGCGTAACATTGCCCAGACAGCTGTGCCACACCTCTTGCTTTAGTATGAGCAAACTTAACACACACAAATGCTAATTATAAACTTTCCCATTACATATCTGCAGGGATGACGTATTTTCTTCATAGGCCAAGCCAAAAGTTCAAATCACCGTGATTCCCTCAACAAAAACCCAATATGACTTTCCGCTGTCTTATCAATACAGCAGAAGTGAGCACAGTAACCAATAAAAGTTTGATTCTTACACGTTTTGTTGTTCATGTTAACCTTCACAAGGCTAAAAATGACCTATAGTTGTATATACAATATCTTAACCACAGACCATATTTCAGGTATTTAACTGAAAACTCATTGACTTTTTTGGCCAACAAAAAACATAACTCTTGCAGGGATCTATATAAAGAAAAAAAAAATAGATAGCCTAGCCTAGCCTATCTATTCATGTCCATAGCCTAGTCAAAGTTTAGTATTTAGGGTTAGAGTAGTTTCCTACAAAAGGAAGTCTTATTCAAACACTATGAGATCTGGAGACACATCTTCCAGACAAGCACATTTACCGTCACACTGAGGAATTCCAGCAACGCTTTAGACGTCTCCTCATGAAAACGTGCTTTTACAGGCTGTTACCTTGACAGCATGTCAACACAATCACACACATATTTAGCTTAGCTATACTTATCCCACCCTGCTGATTATGTCAATTAGCAAATCTTTTACATTTAGACATCGTAGCAAAAACAGCTATTTAATGTATTACTCGGTAGCCACATTCACACAGCAGAAGAATACAGATGTCAGTCCTGATTTAGAGCGTTATGTTCATGCGCTGTTCAGTTAGCGAGAGTGACAACAGTATTTCATAACCCAACTGACATCTTTTATTTTTCAAAATCATATTTTTGGTAAATGCTGTCTGTCAATTAAGATTTGGGCTACGTTCGGTTCACCCAGTACAGTTTTGGGATTGACAACGCATTTACTTTCAGGAGTGAGTCTCAAAATGTCCCGTTCACACAGCAACTTACAGTAGCGTCTCGAGTACTGTCTGTATGTACGGGCAACAAGAGTCAAGCCTCTATTCTCGTAACACTAACCATATTGACAGTGACCAAAGTAATGTCAAAGATGGCGACGACCACGACCAAGTCCAATTGAGCCGCAAGGTCATCTGTTAAATCTATATTAAACAACAGACGCTTCAAAGTCAATGTGTTAGCTGGATGCCATTAAAGGGGTCATATAATGACATTTTTGTACAAGTTAATATGAATGTTTAAGGTCTAAATTAAAACTTTGTAATATACTTTTATTAAAAATTCTCATTAGTATTTTAAGAAAACACCGTTTTACCTGGTCAAAATCAGCTCTGTTTTCAGCAAGCCGTTTTAGTGCATATGCCTTTAAATAATAAACCCCGCCCCTCTGTTCTGCGGGCGTGAACGCACGTGGAGTGTTGCCTTGACAACAGTTGAAGTTTTTGGAGAGAGAATGACAGCGGGAGTCTCTGAGGACACTAGAGCCAGACCGATATATCGGCAGACCGATATTATCGGCCAATATTAGGCATTTTCCAAACTATCGGTATCGGCAGTTATAATGGCCGATAAATTAATATTTCAAAAATAAAATAAAAACGAACGAAACACGCTTGAACCATGTCATGAGTGTTGGAGTTGTATAGTTTGTCCACCAGAGGGCACTCTACACTGTTCCTGTTGGCAACACTAGTTGAGTTGGTCACGAGACATACATTGCTTGAATAACAATTAAAAGAACATCCCCATCAGTTCTCTTCACTCAAATAAGCATGACAAAATTTAAAGAAAAAAAAAGAAATAAATAAATAAAATATCGGTCGATATATCGGAATATCGGATTTTAAAACCCAAAAATATTTGTATCGGTATCGGCCTTCAAAATCCTTTATCGGTCGGGCTCTAGAGGACACATAGTGCAACTGTATCAGTTTGAACTGGAGTAGCTGTTCACCGGAACAAGATGGCGGCTGCAAAGAAGTTCGTCAGTTAAGGCTTGAGGACGTTTCTGAATGGTTGGTTAGCGTAATGTTACTTTGATCTATCTTTGTATGCACTGGCAGGGTAGAGTGGTGAGATACGAACGCTGTGTTTACTGATGTATACGTTAGTTCATTAACAGATTGATGTTTGTCATAACCAATTAGTCATAAAAAACTTTTTCTCGCGATTTGCAAAAGATTAATATAAAGATTAATAAAACGTTAGGATCAGAGGGAACATAAACAGTTGGTACCGATTATTTTTTCAGGAGCAGCTTCTTAGCAAAACCAGCTTTATACTGATCCTCGTTTATAAAGCAGTCTGGTGAGAAATGATTCTCGCAAACAAGAAAGTATTGACATTGATCATGGGGAATATTCCCTTCGTAAACAAAACTAAGCCACTGCGTTTTCATCGGTTCAAATTTAGGAACATCACAATGATTTCTGTGTTTATTGGACCCAAGAACAAAACAACACAATCGCTTAGACGTCATTCTGCTCCAGTGTATCAACAATGACGGACTATAGTCTATGATGACAGCTCGCTCAGGGCGGGTCTGTGTTGAAACACTGCTGTCAATCAACAGCCGCGGGAGGGGCGTGCGGCCGTGTGACGTCACGCGGTTGAACGGCTCGATTTGAGGCAGGGGAAAACAAATAAGGAGATTAAAACAAAACCACTGGATGGATTTTTATCATTAAATGATGGTTGTGTACAATCAACTTGTAAAAGTGCATGTACCATTATATGACCCCTTTAACTGAACTGCCGTTTTTATGTTTTTCCATTTATAGCGCCACCAGGTGGCCAGTCCCATTTGCTTTTTCACGTGTCCACAGAATGAGCTTTTACATACGTGCACCATGTTTGGCGAAAATATCTCATCCCGTTCACGAGTTATATCCATTTTAGTAAAAGTGGCTACGCCCACTTCGAACGTTTTGGCGGCGCTTAAGCCTGGGACACACTTAACGACTGTAAGGCCGATTATGAATGTAATTTGATACTTACGAGCGATCATGCCCAAACGTGCCGAGCTGCGTTCAGTCGGTGTTTAAAATCTGCTCCAGTCATTGAAAGCTGTAAGTGTGTTCAGTTCACTCTGATCGTTTTAGCTAGTCGTAAGAGTGCAGCTCAGCATTAGAGAAGATATAAATCACTCTATGACATGAGACATAAATCAAAATGTTTGATAATTATTGACAATCAGACTCCAGAGAATCTTGCTGCACTGGTTAGGTTTCGATTGGGCCGAAATACCTGCAACTTTCACTAAGCATGTATTTTGTCTGTCTTGAGCCAAGGATTCCAACGATATAAGCCTACGCCTAACGGTTTTACAAGCGATTTCATAATTTTGAGCGCTGTAGCGCCCCCTTCAGGCCAATCGGAGCAGCGTTGGTGACATTGTAGGCGATGCGAATACAACCAGCCCTCAAAGTTTCAAGTCTTACGTCTTACGGTTGGGTCGGCAGATCACTTTTAGGGGAGAATACTGATCCTTGGAAATTTCGCAATAAGATTTAAGCGTTATGCGCTTGAACCCCGATTATGTGAAGAGAATGAAGAGTTCTTACCCAAGAAGAGTATGTGCATTTAGATGCAAACATGCAATTTTCATTTCATGCGAATCAGAGAAAAGGTGGAAAAAAAGCACCATGAAAAATTGCATTATGACTTCAGTGAAACGATAATGCTATAAATGTAGAATATGGTTCCTTTAAATCTTAAAGGGTTAGTTCACCCAAAAATGAAAATTAAGTCATTAATTACTCACCCCCATGCTGTACCAACCCCGTAAGACCTTCGTTCATCTTCGGAACACAAATAAAGATATTTTTGATTGAATCTGAGAGCTGGATCAGTCCTTTATAGACTGCCTAAGGGACTGGCTCTTGACGGCCCATAAAGTCATTAAAGAAAAGGTTTAAATATTCCATGTGCCTACAGCGGCTCAATTATACGTTTATCAAGCGACGAGACTACTTTTTGTGCGAAAAAAAACATAAATAACGACTTTATTCCACTATTCCATTACTTCCTTATGGGCGCATGCGCGAGAACTGAGACGAGGACGTTCTCATTCGTCTACTTCTTGTTACCGGCTGCTCACTGCTTACGAGTTTTACCGCCCCCTACCGTATAAGATGATGTGCTGATATAGCTGGAAGCGCAAAACTTTCTGTTTACAAGCAGAGGAAGATGCGCGCTGTACATACGCTTTTCAATTAGCGTATTTTCCGCACTATAAGGTGCACTTAAAAGCCTTTAATCTTCTCAAAAAACGACAGTGTTCCTTATAATCCGGAGCGCCTTATATATGGATCATCATTTTATACGGTAGGGGGCGGTAAAACTCCTAAGCGGTGAGCAGCCGGTAACAAAAGTAGACGAATGAGAACGTCCTCGTCTCAGTTCTCGCGCATGCGCCCATAAGGAAGTAATGGAATAGTGGAATAAAGTCGTTATTTATGTTTTTTTTCGCACAAAAAGTAGTCTCGTCGCTTGATAAACTTATAATTGAGCCGCTGTAGGCACATGGAATATTTAAACCTTTTCTTTAATGAGTTTATGGGCCGTCAAGAGCCAGTCCCTTAGGCAGTCTATCTAGGACTGATCCAGCTCTCAGATTCAATCAAAAATATCTTTATTTGTGTTCCGAAGATGAACGAAGGTCTTACGGGGTTGGTACAGCATGGGGGTGAGTAATTAATGACTTAATTTTCATTTTTGGGTGAACTAACCCTTTAATATTTGATGCTAGGTATAAGTGTAGGTGTTTGGAAAGTGAATAGCGATCACATCTGCTATTTTGTTTTCTGTCAGATTCGGGAATCTGCATGGCGGCTCATTTGGGGTGTGCATTTGTAAACCCGGTGAGCAAATCAGATGATATGCAAGACAACACACCTCAGTGGTTTCTAAGAAAGGTCAGTTTGGTCAGTTTAACCAGCTTACCGACAGTTTGTTGTCGTAGAAGTAGGCATCCAGCAGTTTGACGATGTACTGATGGTTGCAAGACGCTAAGATGTCAATCTCCACCACATAGTCTTCCAGCTCCTCCTCACTTTTGGTTTCGATCACTTTAGCTGCAGCAAGCACACCGGTTTCTTTATTCTGGGCCTGAAAGACAAACCAGTTTCACATCAAAAAACAACGTCAGCATGATCAACATTGCGGCATCCTGCTGATATTCCCGTTCCACGCTCGTCGCATATCTTGTGACGTTCCTGGATGTTCTTTTGGATGTTCCTGGATGTTTAGAGAAATTACCAAGGGTTCAAACAACAATGGAGGACCTGACTGGACAAAACCAAACAAGTACTGTTTTTTTTTACATGTTCTTATGTTGGGTTTGCCAGATGAGACTTTTGACCATGAGACTGTGTACATGTTGTTTAAAGTGCCGAGGAAACTCTTTTCGAACGGCACAGTGGATTGGTTGCTCAGTGTTGGTCTGAACAGGCTCAAAGGTCTAAGTGCATATGCAAGCAACTATGCTGGATTGAGAACTCAGTCAAGAAGGTATAATGTGAACTTGTGAAACTGGGGGTTTGCACCCTAAATGAGTAGAAAAGAAATGAACTGAATTTGAATTGATTTAATTTTTGAATTAACTGATTTGTTTTTGTTGGAAAGATTTTCAGAACTGGGAATTGAGTATTTGAATTTATGGAAATTTTTATGTTTCCGTTTTTTTTTTTTTTTTTTTTTTCTTTTTGTGTTGGCATTTGTGAATCATTAATGCTTTCCCCTCACTGAATATTATCTTGCTAAAAAAAAGAAACTAATAACAGTTCATATGAATTGAGCCTATTGCTGTTTGTGTGTTAATTCTTCATCCACATATTAAGGGTTCTACTTTTATTTTTAAATGTCTGAATCCTTTGTATGGTTGACTGACTAAACGAAATATAGTAGGTTTAAAAACCTGCTTGGCACCCCAATCAATTAGGTCAATGTGTTACAACGTTAGTAGCCAGTCAGTGTAAAACAAACGTGTATAAATTTAATAAAATATAGTCAAATTACCATTCAGAAACGTTTTTGTAAGAGCCGTGTTTAGGGAGGTTCTGCTTGTCTCTCTTCATCGCCGCTTTCTGGGTCTGAATCTGGCTCTGACACTGCAGTATCGACACCATTATTTACTGTACATGGACCAGAGCGGCTCTGCATTGGACCGGAGCACATCCACGTTTCGCCCGTAAAGGTAATGGGCGTGAAACTTCCGGACAACGTGAGCTACAGTTTAGCCAATCACAACACACCGGCCCAAACTAACCAATCTGAGCCCACTGCCTGTTTCTGAGGGAGTGGTTTCATAGACTCAGGAAGTCAACCGGTCTTTCAAATGACAGAGGAGAGCGCGGCTTACAATAAAGGTGAAATTTATGAAAAATAAAACTTTTTAGAAAAGAAAAACCACAAATACATGTTATATTGCACCCCATAAACACAATCATGCAAAGAAAAAAAAGCAGTAAACCACCCCTTTAATTCATAAATGCATTTCTGATTTTGAAATGTGAAGGCCTTGTCATAAAGATTAAATGATCAAACATTGTAAGACTTCCTGACCTTGAGGGTCATGAGGTTTGCAGGTGCTCTTTATATGATATCTTTTTCTTGTTTTCAGTTTTTTATGCGTTCACCACATGACTTTGATTTCGTTTTTCAAAAACAATGAGCAGTGAATGTTTTTTCAGTGAACATCTTTCCAGATATTAGGCCAGTTTGATGGCGTTGCGTGTGATATCTGTCGAAGCGGTGGGAACATGCAGCGCTGGTTGAGATGCAGTCACTCATTGTGGTTAGCATGTTTTCAAAAGGAAACACTGTTGCCAAACCACTCAAATGCAGGACTTCCGCTCAGTTGTCAAGCAACTAAAACATGATTTGGCACAACTAACAAAAAGCAAGGCTTGTAAGTTGGACAGTGATGGTTATTATCAATACAAATGTAATAGAGGAGAGAATGAAAGTATGGCAGGTTTAGATGGCTAATAAAACGAATAATAAGCTAGTGTTTTGGGTGGTTGCTAGGCCATTACTGTGCAGTTGCTAGGGTCATGCAGAAACACAGATGAGTCACACCCTGATGTGACGCTTGACCAAGGAATCACGATTCTAACGAATATCTGTCTTATTCTCTTGCTCAATTAAATAACGTGAATCTGAATATGAAAGGCTAGCCCGTTCTCATCCCAAGGCGTCATATACTGACGCTTTTGACATTTCGTCTACATCCAACGCTCATGGCACCCTTTAGCGTCAATATGAGACACAGAGGGTCCAGAATGCGCCTATTAGTGGTCTAACCCTACTCCAGACCTAAACCTACCTACAACTGAAGCGTGTTATATTTTAACGCAAAAGGGTGCCATGTGCGTTGGATTTAGACGAAATTTCAAAAGCGTCACTATATGACGCCCTATGATGACATATGATCAACTCTGTGAAACCAGACTTCCTAACGTGAAACCAGACTTCATTCGCCCCAATACAAAGCATATTTACACTGTCTGAATCGTTCCCTATCCCCTATGTAGTGCACTATGTGTCATTGGCCATGTAGAAAATAGTAAATGTGTGAACAAGTAACTGATTTCAGCTGCAGCATGTTTGTAGGGGGCGGAGCTTCAGATTCTAGAGAGCATTTGATTGGAGAGAAAGGCTGAGTGACGTCATCAAAATCATTGATTCCTATGGGCTAATTTGTAAGATTTGAACGCTTATATCTTCTAAACCTGAATTGTGTCATTTTTTGCAGCACACTATCTTATAGATAGTAACTAATTTATTCATACTAAAAGTCATTTTTGATGAAATTTGGACTTCATGGGGACTTTCAGAACCATATTAGAAGGCACAGATGTATCTTATAGAATAACATCTTCGTTTTGAATTACTTTTAGGGATGCACCGATATGAAAATTTTGGCCGATACCGATAATTCTTTATATTTGAAAGCCGATAACCGATATATCGGCCGATAAATTTAAATCCAAATTTTTAGATAATTTTGAGAGCCTGATTACAAAATCAAAAGTCTCACAATTAAAATCCATGTCTCAAGCGCACGATTATAATGATGTTCTCATTATAGTGTTGTATAGCCGATATGACAGATTTGCGCTGCACATGTTGTACCGAACGAACCATATTTTAATTTGTAAAAATCTCTTTTTAAAGAGATTTCAAAAATATTTCAAGAAAATCTAAATCATAAACAGTGTTTAACAAGTGTCTCAGCTGAAGGGAATAATACATTATTTATCGGCTTTAATATATCGGCCACATTTTTTTACAAGGCCGATAAAATGAACATATATCGGCCGATACCGATATGCTGGCCGATATATCGTGCATCCCTAATTACTTTTGTGACTAAAAACATGGAATATGGAGATAAATAATGGTCTCTGAATTCTCAAATTACTACAAAAACAATGTAATTAAAGGATGGATGAAAGAAAATCAAGTGTGACAATAATATTCATCTGTTAACATTAGTTATCCACATTAGTTAACATGAACTTACAATAAAAAATACTTCTATAGCATTTATTTCTCTTAGTTCATGTTCATTTTACCATTAAACAATTATCTTTTTATAATAAATTAAAATGAAAAATAGTATCTTTTAATATTATTATTTAATGGATCTGCTACCATGAACAGTTGTATTTTTATTAAGTAATGTTAATAGATATTTAATATAAATACTATAACAAATGTTTTGCTCATTGTTGCAGTAATTGTTAGACGCTATTATTGTGAAGTCTTACCAGTTTCTCTAGTTTAATCATACTTTTTTTTCATCAATGCTTAAAAACTACTTAAAGGGTTAGTTCACCCAAAAATGAAAATTAAGTCATTAATTACTCACCCCCATGCTGTACCAACCCCGTAAGACCTTCGTTCGTCTTCGGAACACAAATGAAGATATTTTTGATTAAATTTGAGAGCTGTATAACTACCACATAGGCTCCTAAGGGACTGCCTCTTGACGGCCCAAAAAGTCAATGAAGAAAATGTTTAAATATCCCAAGTGACTACCGTGGCTCAACTATATGTTTATCAAGCGACGCGAATACTTTTTGTGCGAAAAAACAAACAAAAATAACGAGTTTATTCGACTATTTCTTTTCTTCGTTGTAGGCCAGAACGAGACTTCCTTAGATTTCCACGACGCATGCGCGAGAATTGCGATCTGAAGTGGTGTAAGCTGGTGTAAGCAGATCGCAAATCTCGTGCATGCGTCGTGGAAATCTAAAGAAGTCTCGTTCTGGCCTACAAGGAAGAAAAGAAATAGTCGAATAAACTCGTTATTTTTGTTTGTTTTTTCGCACAAAAAGTATTCGCGTCGCTTGATAAACATATAGTTGAGCCACGGTAGTCACTTGGGATATTTAAACATTTTCTTCATTGACTTTCTGGGCCGTCAAGAGGCAGTCCCTTAGGCAGCCAATGTGGTAGTTATACAGCTCTCAAATTTAATCAAAAATATCTTCATTTGTGTTCCGAAGACGAACGAAGGTCTTACGGGGTTGGTACAGCATAGGGGGTGAGTAATTAATGACTTAATTTTCATTTTTGGGTGAACTAACCCTTTAAATCTTAATGCTTTTTAGACTAATTCAAACTTTCTAGCCAGGCTTTATCAAAGCAAACATCACATTTGTATCTAGTTTATCAGTTTTCTGAACATTCTTTCACTCCTGCCTTTGGACAAACAGATGAGAGAAGAGATTGGAGATGTGAAGGGCTCATCGCCTCAAAGAAGCATAACCATAAATATAAAGCCCCAAATCCACTTCCATATCCATTGAGAGGATTACGGCACCTGCTCAAGTCAAAGCTTCTCATCTATCCTGGAGAATGGCCATCGAAACAACACCCTGAGCAACAGCAGCACAATAGTGTACTTTCAACCCTGTGTCATGGACATTAACACCCATAAAAGAGATCCACCTCTGTTTACATCTGTGACACTGCTGTGTTCTGCTTTATAGATGACACTCATTTTCACAGTGGAACTGAATCAACACTGACAAGTTCAATGAAAGTTCAGCTAAACAATGACACTATTTTCTTTTGGAGATGAAATTAACTGAAATGATCATTAAGTCTCGCTGTAAAGCCGCTTTAAAACAATCTGCATTTTACAAAAACATGTTGACTTGTCAGAGAAATGTGACTTTAAAACTAAAACTGGCTACGACCACCTGACCGTAAGTCCGATTGACTTGAAAATTGGTATGCAGTGTCTTGGACCAAGATGTCATGTATGAGGACATTTGCGTATCTCCCAATGAAGTTTGAGCACCTATGAGACGAGGTTAACGAAGGCCGATCAGAACGAAACTCGATGGGTGTGTTCGACTCATGACCCTAGAGGTCTTTACGAGTTTTGAAAGAAATTGGCCACTAGTTGGCACTAACGAGTTTTACGGCTCTGTTGTAATCACGTTGTGTTGCACACATCCCCACAATATGCATATCATTTGATAGATCTCCTCATGCTGAACAACTTTGCCTCTAGAACCATTGCTGTCAATCAAATCGTTCATTAAATATTCACAAATATGTTTAAAACCTACTTTTGCGAACTAGTCCCTGGTTTTTCGCCCGATCGGAACCAGACCAGTCTAGGACAATTCTCTGGACTCTCGAGATCAATAATTATTGAGAAAAAGTTGAACTTTTGCATTTGGTTGGCTATAAACGTGTCGTTTAAATAATGGGTGCGTGGCAAAATAAACTCAAAAGCCTATAAATCATAAATAAAAACTCAGAACTTCAGAAAAATTGGTGAGCATATGTGGCAAAGTTTTATGGAGATCGGACAATAGGTGGCGCTATAACTGTTAAAAATCTTAAAAACCATGTGTTCCCTATGGTAAATTGCCAGTATTGCCTGTAAATGGTCTTACTAAATAAAATGAATGTCTTTTGGTGCTTTTGTGCTTAAAGCCCTTAACTGCTTGAACCCCGACAAATGTTGCTTGCAGCTTTAATTTCGCCAGTTTTGATCCCTTAGAAGCCGATGGAGGAGTGATCCAGCTCTTAGATTTAATCTAAAATATCTCAATTTGTGTCTTACAGGGTTGAACAACAACATGAGGGCGAGTAATTACTGACAGAGTTTTCATTTTTGGGTGAACGATCACTTGAAAGTTTAGTACACTGACTCCAATGGTTTCAATTAATTGTGCAGCAACTGCAAAGCTACTAATAATAATGGCGGAAACAATGAGGCCAAAACCAGATCCTTAAATGTGTGGAGAATGCTGTAGTCAAGCTAATATGCAGAAAATGTTCCTCTCCACCCACAGAAGACGCTCTTATCACTGTAAAGCCAACAGCACTGAACACTGGTGATTAGCAGACCCATCGAGAAACACGTGATCATCTCAACCAAAACCACTTCAGCACTTGTCAAACTTTATCATGACAGGAGTTCAGGTGTTCACACTGCTGCCATGTGCTTACACACGTGTGCCATCAATAATTAACAGTCAAAGAGACACTCAGCATTAAATAACACACACACAAATCCAACAGCTTCACACTCAAACACTCAAGACACCAAAGACATTTGGATTCCTTACTAAATTATGTAAATTTGGCCATGATTTGATTGAACTCAATTCTGTTGCTTTGGTACGATACATATTTATTTTTAAAAGACAACCAGATAAATCAAATGTAATTTCAAACCAGAAATAGAAGCAGAGTAAATAAATGATCTAATATTGTAATTATTTTGCGGAAGAGCACAAATAAACAAAATATAATCTGGCCACACTGTCTCTTAAATGTGATTAAATATTAACTAATGTTAAAATATTAAATATTAACATTGTTTCTGAAATAATTATGATTATTAGTTACGTTGATAATATGCTTTTTTCATATTTATTGGCAGATTTGGCAGCCATTTGTTTTGCTCTGTCATTCATGAGATCTTGAGGATGAGGAAGTATTAGGCCATACATCGTCTAAACTGCAAATATGTAACAATATAGATAGTTTTGATGATTATAATGAGACTATTCTAGCTTTATTTCTTCACATCATTTGCTGTCAGTGTAGATGTGTATGGGCCATTCACACAGAGTGTGTTTTTCCATTCCAATGCACCATTTCCATTGTTTTTCTATGTAAACGCGGTGTGTATAACGTTGCGCTCGAGTCTTTCTCGCGCATGACATGGCATTCTAAAAACACAGTCCTCAAGTTAAAATCATTAAAAATGAAAAAAAAAACATGTCTCAAATCACGTTTTCCCGCATTCCACTCTATGTGTCTCACGTTTTCAAAGCAAAAACGCATTCTCAGCAGGGCCTAAAATTAACACTCGAATTAACATATTTTTATGAATACTAACAATGGATGAGCGGACAAATTCACACCAAATTATGTCTAAAAATAGTGCACATCCAAGTAAACATAGTCGGTTATGTCTTGAACAACAATTGAGAAGTAAACGCATGTGTCAGTATCAGTTTATTAGATCTATGCAGTCGGTCTTAAAGAGACAGTAGGTTAATATTCCTGCTGCTGTCTGACAAAGAAAAATCACTTTTAACTTTAATAAGGATGTTTAATTTATACAGTGAAGACTATGCAGTGTTATTTTTATTTTATTACAATTTTGTACCTGGAAACTACGGTCAGATCTTCCTGAAAAATCGAAAAAGCACTGTTTATTTTAATTGTATCTTTGTTATATTGTATTTATTTGTGATTTTGCTTCTAATTTGATTATTTGTTCTTGTTTTATTACTGACTATTTGGTTATTTGCTTTTAAATTTACAGTATATTAGTTAGGAAATATAAAAATTTGGTCTCATTACGGCTTGTTTTTGCAAAAACAGTTTCATAGCCAGTAAGAAATATCAGTGACATCACCAGCCATTGGCAGTGTGGCTAAAGTTAGTTTTAGGCCCGGAGTGTAAGTGTATAAACACAATCCTCTGTACGTGTTCACAGGATGTTCTTTCTTAGAGACGCGTGTTTTAACATGTCCAGGCAAAAAAAATCAACAGTGCGAAGGTGTGGGAGTTTGATCAGTCTCTGATTTGAGATTTTATGATCATGATTAAATGTTACTAAACAAAGACCAATAGAGTGCCGAAGTTATGACGTCACTTTGTAGGACGGACGTGGGTTCCCTCGACCAAAAAGCTATGCATTTTCCCCATAGACTTTTGAAAAATCGCAAAAAAATAAGATCTGCGTTCAACAAAGAGTTGTGACCCTTACACGTTTTGTCTATCAAGATAATATTTACAAGTTAATACAAAATGTATAAATTTTAAAGCCTATAAAGTTGAAAAACCACAAGCAGATAATTACTGATGTGTTTTATGTCATAGATCAAAACGTGAAAAAATATTTAGAGGCTTTGTTCACCACAGACCGTATTTCAGGTGATTTAGCAAAAACCCATTCAAAAATCCCGTAGACTTTAGGGCGAGGGAACCGGTAGCGCTAAAATGCTAACTCACTTCCGCTTTTTGGCCTACAGAGTGACGTCATGACTTCGGCACTCTATAAGCAAAGCATCAGTCAAAAAAACGTTTACAGTGATACTCGCATTCAAACCTGTTTAAGTTACTTTCTTCAGTTGAACACAAAAGAAAGTTTTATGTTTGCTTAACAACATTCTTCAAAGTATCTTCTTTTGTGTTCAACTGAAGAAAGAAACTCGTACAGGTTTGGTACAACATGAGTAAATGATGACAACATTTTCATTTTTGGGTGAACTATATTGTTATTTAAAAAAAAAAAAAAAAAAGATGAGTCTTAGGTCTGTGTGTAACAAAAATTGAAAATGTGCGCAAAACCTTCATAAATTATGAGAATCGCCCCATTACAGTATTACTGGATCACTCCACTGTGAAAGCTGTCTGTACTAAGATTGTATTTAAACCCATTCAACCCGGTCTTTAAGGGTAAGAGGGTTACAGTGACCCTGGATGTCACACAACACTGTTGGAGACAAAAGGCAAATTCAGCTTTTTCTACACAAGGGTTCTTCTCCGCCTATCGAAACTGCAGCACATTCCAGCATCTTCCTACACAGTGACTCCGAGTGGCCCCTGAGGGCCCCGGGCTGAACACATGTGACCTGTCAGGGTGTCTTTGTGGCCGAAGAGTGAGTGCCATTAACCGGAATGGTAATGGAGTAAGCCTATCTAATATTTGATCAGTTAGTCAGGATGGTTTTACTGAGGGTAGTAACGCACCACTTCATGTCACATATCACAACACATGTCAGTACATGAAACATTGAGTTGCATTCAGAACCATCTAGTCAAGAAGTGTGCACAAGTCTCTTGATTGTCCCATACGGGCTCTTTTCACAATTCAAACAAACACAATGTTGGTAAAAGTAACTAAAGTGGCTCAAATACATAAATAACACAATTAAATATATAATTCAAGAGTGCTATGAAAGAAAAGACTATGGATTTGTTTTTTTGTTTGTATATGTGAACATGTTTTAGACTAAAAAGTGCGACATAGGTGTCAATACAAAGGCAAAATGTTTATATGTTTCTCGGAATGAATTCTAACTGTCATGAGCACAACAGGTTGTCAATTACGAGAACTTCTCAAAAGCCTACTATGCTAAAGGCTTAGCTTATGAATATGAATTAAAAGAATGACGTTCGCTAAACAGGCCTAACTGATTGGCTGAAAGACAGTTAGATGGCCAATCAGCGAATCTGGTTACGGCTAGGCTTGTTAATATTAATCATTGTCATTAGTAAACGAAGCGACGTCAATAACATGACAACGGTAATATTCATGAACTAATCCTTTACCATGGTAGAAGTCGTAGTTTCGTTTCGCTGTCTCACAGGTTTATTAATATCCGAACTCACCTTATAAACTTTCCCGAAAGCACCGTCGCCCAGTTCCCCGATAATTTCCCACATGTCGTTTGGATTTACATCCCGATGAACGTGCTCATATTGCTTGGTTTTCTTCTTGATGTCAAGTGCAGGAAACCGGATCATCTTGCTGAATTTGGCAAAAGCCATTTTTAAAAAATATACAGGTAGAAGCCTCAAATGCTAAAAAAAAAAAACCTGATTATGCTGATGATAAATTAGTTGACCTCAGAAAAAAACAAAAGCGTCTGGGCTGAAAACTATCCGACACTCCGCTGGAAATATAGACATCTTCATCACTTAAAAAAATTAAAAATAACTTCAAGTTGTAATAGACTTATTCCACTCCATCCATGAGAAAACATGCGCCGTCTGAGGCGAGTGAAACACTCATGTTCACCTGTTCACTCACTGCTGTTGTGTGTGTGTGCGCGCATAGCGTGTGTGTGTGAGAAAGAGAGACAGAGCCACGCCCACTGCACAGAATTATGGGAATAGTAGTTTTTAAAGTTAATCATAAAATAGCCTAAGCAACACAACATAATTGTTTTGTATTTACAACGGTACCTTGTTATATCTTATATATGTCTCACTATATCCTGTTCTAGAAGCTAAATAATAAAATAAAAAAATTAAAGTAGGCTAGACAGCATGAGCAACACGCATTTTAATATTTTTTTTTAATGATTTTAAGTAATCGTGATATTTGTATTGAATATTGCTATTGTAATACTCTAGTCAAGACGCACAGGAAAAAAAAAAACTACAGATAAAATATGAAAAAGCCCGAGTTTAAAACAAAACTGCTGCACACAATCTCCACCTTGTGGTGAATTTGTGGTACATTTTATTTATTTATTTATTTTAGAATACAAAACACGTCATTTTGATATATCAATATACAATGTACTTTATATTGAATATAGTGAATATAAAACAATATTAAAAAGTAATAAATAAAGATTTCCATCACATTACAGCACATACATGACGAGACGATATATCTTTATTTATTTTTTTTTTAGATACGTTTAGTGGTTTAAAAAATACATAAAAAATGTCTTTCTTGAAATCATTCTATGTATGTTTTGAATTTCTTATCCAAAAATAATTTTCTTACAATAATTTAATAAAGTCAAGGGGAACAACTTTAGCATAAGCTATTTTGTAATGTTATTCCTATAAAAGAAGGGAATGTTCATTTTCGTAATAATATGCGAAAAAGATTTTGTCCATCAAATCAAAGTCTGAGTCATGTAACCAATCTGCAAGATGCTATATTATTATCATGTGATAAAAACATTGAAAACTTTTTTGTTTGTTTTTTCAAAAACCTGAAATCATGATGATGATGTGAACGTTTAGATGGAAGAAAAATGTTACCTCTTAATTGTTTAAAAACTTTTAAATGAAAAAAAAAATGTTGAAATCGTATAAATGTTTATTTTTTTATTATTTTTTTGAAACTACTGATTATGAATAACATCTGTTATCATGCTGAGAAATGGGCTCTTCGTGATCTTGGTCCAATCCTCCTGCAGTGATGAGTTCAGCCTCTCCGTCCTCTGGACTGTAATGCTTCACAGTTATCATGGGTAAAAACCAAGTCCTGAAACAGATCGACTACTTTTCAATAAAATAATAATAAAAAAAATATATATATATATGTGTGTGTATAAAATGAATTAATTAATTCAAAAGGCGCAGGTTTGGTGGAATGGGTTTAAGGGTGAGTTAAGGTTTAGATATATGTACAGTACAATGTAAAAACATGCATGTACACAATAAGTGCAACGTATCAAATTATTCATTTACTTGTCAGTGGTTAAAGACACCTAAAGAGGGACCAAAAATTGATATAATATACAGTATTTGTGAAATAAATGCTTGACTTACCCCGTGACATTTTTGTGATATGATGATATAGAGTTGTCTAATCATGGCAGCGAGTGTTTGCACTTTCCTGTTGTAGGAACACCGGCGCTCTCTCAGGCCGCCCAGCAGAGACACATAAGAGTTCATCGTGGACATCACACAAGCGTTCTGTCGTCACAAACAGCATATATGACTGACCATACAAGGCTTTTAACTTATTTCAAAGCACACATATAATGGAGTGATTAAAAAAAAAAAGATCTGATTTGTACGTTTATTATTGTTACTGAGGTGGAATCTGATCCAGATAATGGGATTCTGAATGTGCTTAGTATTAGTATGTCATTATTTTACACTACAAGCAAGCTTTATTACGGAAGCGTATTGCATTCACTTGAGGAAACAAAATCTACTCTGTTTTTCTGAATTAACGAGTTAATTATCTCAGAATTACGAGATCATTTTTCATGAAAAAAAAACGTTTTTGCTCTGTTTTTCTGAATTAATGACTAGATTATCTCAAAAATTATGAGTAACACATTAATTCATAAAAACAAAGCGAAAACATTTTTTTTGATTTGATTTGATTTGATTTGATTTTGATAATTAACTTGTTAATTCAGAAAAACAGAGAAAAAACTTTTTTCCATGAAAACTGATCTTGTAATTCTGAGATAATTAACTTGTTAATTCAGAAAAACAGAGAAAAAACTTTTTTCATGAAAAATTATCTCGTAATTCTGAGATAATTAACTCGTTAATTCAGAAAAACAGAGCAAAACCTTTTTTTCATGAAAAATGATCTTGTAATTCTGAGATAATTAACTCGTTAATTCAGAAAAACAGAGCAAAACCTTTTTTTCGTGAAAAATGATCTCGTAATTCTGAGATAATTAACTCGTTAATTCAGAAAAACAGAGCAAAACCTTTTTTTCCATGAAAAATGATCTCGTAATTCTGAGATAATTAACTCGTTAATTCAGAAAAACAGAGCAAAACCTTTTTTTTCATGAAAAATGATCTCGTAATTCTGAGATAATTAACTCGTTAATTCAGAAAAACAGAGCAAAACCTTTTTTTCATGAAAAATTATCTTGTAATTCTGAGATAATTAACTCGTTAATTCAGAAAAACAGAGCAAAACCTTTTTTTCATAAAAAATTATCTTGTAATTCTGAGATAATTAACCCGTTAATTCAGAAAAACAGAGCAAAACCTTTTTTTCATGAAAAATGATCTCGTAATTCTGAGATAATTAACTCGTTAATTCAGAAAAACAGAGCAAAACCTTTTTTTCATGAAAAATGATCTTGTAATTCTGAGATAATTAACTCGTTAATTCAAAAAAACAGAGAAATTTTTTTTTATGAAAAATGATCTCGTAATTCTGAGATAATTAACTCGTTAATTCAGAAAAACAGAGCAAAACCTTTTTTTCATGAAAAATGATCTCGTAATTCTGAGATAATTAACTCGTTAATTCAGAAAAACAGAGTAGATTTTGTTTCCTCAAGTGAATGCATTACGCTTCCGTACTTTATCTCTTAAATGTTGAATGGGTAATTCTGCAATAGCCTGTCAGTACTTACATGAATATCGACGTACAGGTCGGGCAGGTGAGCTGCGCATCTGTACTGCAACACAAGGCACAATAAAAACATCAACTTTGGTTTTGTCAGGCATTTTTGCACTCACCTCAAGTAGATGTGTTAGACTTACAGTGTCGTGGTCTTTTTTAATGTCCGCCGCTCTTTGAGTGATTTCTGTGCCCATGTTCAGCACTTTAGTGTAACAGGTTGGTGGTATGGGGTACGGCTGAGCCCAAACCATGGGCATCAGAACCAGAACCAGAACCAGAGCCATGCTTTCTGCTCTCTGTGAACGACACTGCTGTCTGTGTGCTGCATTTATACACTGCAAATGTTGTGTTTATTACCAAACATGACATCATGAATCATTTAGAAATCATTGGAATTCACATCATTGTCTTCTCCAGTTCTGTTGCTGAAACACTGGTGCTTGTGGTTTTCCTCAGCCAGAATATCCCACAATACATGCAGGAGATCTCTAAATAGACAATGACAATTGTAAACAACATAATAAACATGAATCATGTCAATATTTAGCACCACAAAAATGTTTTGCACAAATAACAAACAACAATTTTGCTCCATTATGCAACTAATGAGTATCATATGATACAGTGTCATCTATACGATGTTGTAATTCGGATTTTGAGAAGACGACGAGTGAAACGTTTGAGTGGCTCTATTAAACACGTCAACTCTCGTCTCTCGTGCATCTTTTCATTCGACCATCTACTGTTTTTATCTCTGGGCAACATGTCAACTTTGCGTTACAAGCGGCACTGCGCAGAAGACGGATAGGCTAATGCATAAAGTTTTCATTCATAGAGAGAGGGGCTATGTTCACACATTCAAATAATGAGATTCGTATTTACTGCTAACAAGTGCTGTCAATGTTAACGCTTGCGTTAAATTACCCCTTAAATTACACTTTTATTTATTTTTATAATAAGATTATATGAAATATAAACATTTAAATGGTGGCTGTCATAAAAACTTGCCAGATTTATTCAAATATGCATTAAATATTGAAGAATATTACGATTATAATGCATACGTAATATGGTGTATATATTTAGCAAAATGCTCCTCTCTGGAGTTATTTTTTCTAGCTGATTAACGAGTTTATGTGGGTTTTCTGAGGTAAATATGACGATGACATTGATTACAAGCTGTTTAACTGACGTCTTTCCACGGTTGAAACGCTGATTGAGCGAATCAATGTGACATGATACGGATTTCGATAAGTTGTACTCTATCTTTAACACACTTTCAGATGCTCATTCGTGTTTATTTGGCGCTGTGACTGGTATTATTAACCCGGAAGAGAGATCAGCGCTGCTAAGAGCGATCTCACGCCACAGCGCCAAAACGTTATTCATGTTTTTGAATTTCTAAAGAAAATGGACGTAATTTGAAAATTGAGACTTTGTTTCATATCAATAGTAACAAAGGACAAAGATTACTGCGATTTATTGGATACGCGCAGCCGCGATACATAGTTCAATTCATTCAAGTGAGTAATCAACAGGATGACTAATCGATTCTTGAGATTTAAGAATCGATATCGGTTCGTAAAAATGAGAATCGATTAATATCGAGAAATCGATATTTATTACCCAGCCCTAATGTTTACACCGGTCGCAAATCCCGTCATAAATAACAAAGTATAGACGCGATATAAATAAGAGATTCCCTGTGCAGTGCGGACAGCTTCAGTGTTTATGATGAGTGTTTTAGTGAATGTCCACACTAGTACGTTTTCGTTTGAAAACGTTTATTTTTCTCTCCGTTTTGGCCTTCCGTCCACCCTGAGACGCCGTTTTAAGTCACCAAAAACGTATCATTTGGAAAACGCTCTCCAAAGTGGATAAATTTGAAAACGCCGTTTTCGCGTTGTATTGTGGACAGTGAAACCGGAGGTATTTCAAAACGATGATGTAAGTTTAGTCATGTGATCCATGTAGTACCAATAGATATTCATGTTTATCGGTATTGTGCCTGTTATGTGTTATTCATTTTTACACTGTTGCTAAAATATGTTACGTTCTATGTTATGTGCTATTCTTCATAGCACAGTACTGCAAAGATGACAGATAATGTAGTCTACTCACATTTGCTGTCCTGCGGCAAAACAGGAGTTGCGTTTTAGACCAAATATGCAGACTGAATGCGACCTGGATGCATAAGTGATGGTGAGATATTTTGCTAACTAAAATGATCCCGTTAGAAGAATTGCGCGATAACTTTATTATTTATTTTCCCCTCTGTAACGTCTCAGTGAGCTTTTGTGAAGTTTGTGAAGTGAATTTAGAAGTTTCTCATCCACACTGAAACGTCAGAAAACGCCTGAAAACACTAGTGTGGACGGAGAGCGTTTTTAAACGAAAACCCCGTTTTCAAATGTATCCGGATTAATGTGGACGTAGCCTTAGTGAGAGTGCAGAACGCGGTAAGTCAGTCATGGCTTAAAGGGAGCGATATTGGCTATATAAATAATCATTTTGTTTTACTACGGCAGCTGGTTTAGTCCAAAAACGCGCAGTTATTTGCCAGTTGGGTCTGTTCGAGGTCGTATCACGTTCTCACCACAAACGAACCGCTCCAGAGTTCGTTTGAAAGCGTACCGAGACCTACGTACGCTAGTTTGGTCCGCTTTTGGTGCGCACCCGAGTGCGATTGCTGCCTTCACACCTGCCCAAACGAACCGCACCGAGAGGGAAAACCAACTCTAGTCTTTCAACCGAACCGAACTAAATGAGGCAAGTGTGAAAGCACCCTGAAATGCCACTAATGTGTCTCCATCAGTATACTGGGGCGTTCGGACCTACACAGAGCAAAGGGTGAGCAGCGCCCCCTGCTGGCCTCAATAACATCTCTTCTCTGACCTGCATGTAAACGCTGTCCTTTTCCATTCACTTCAGTCCTGCCTTGTTTGTTTTTTTTTGATGGAGCTGTCCTCTGTCTTTTGTACTTCATCTACATCCTGGTCACACTAAACAATACAGAATTGATAAACAACTGCTTTGCACTGCAAATGTAGTTTCCTCCTTCCTCTGTGTTACACTACCTCTTCTCGTCTGACTGACTGCTACTAATCAAACCAGCTGTGCTCCTCGAGCTGCTCTAGTGTCAGTCGCTCCGCTGGATCACGCTCTAAACACCTGGAAATCAGGTCTCGGCATGCTGGAAAGTTTTCAGAGAGGGCGCGGGTTAGTCTTAGGGGATCACTAATGTTGAAATACGTGAAATAATGTTAATGTTTTGCCATATAAAATGTCATTATTAATCAAATAATTAAAATAACAACCTAGTAAAGACGAGTAAAAAGTGTTTAGATAAAGGTTTGAGTGACTAATGTGGACTTCTATAAAGATCCGTTTGGCCATTAACTTTTTGCATTTCTCTCCGATTCGGTAGGAAATAAAATGTGGAGGATTTTATCTTTGATAGGATGATTGACAGGCCAGTTTACTTAGACAGAGAGCAACCGTTAAAGACGTGATAGTATCCCAAAGCTTGTCTACTCTTCTGCTACACACTCAACAGTATCTACTTTTTCTTCACTTTTAGGGCAATTGAGACAGCAATAGTGTCGGCCCACCAGTATCATGTAGGGCATGGTGCAGTACCTAAATGTTTGTAGTTTGTGCTGTGTCATGGTGTTGTACAGTGGTTCTCAAACTTTTTCAGGAGGAGGCCCCCTTGTGTAGGGTGAATCCTTTTGTGGCCCCCCAAAAGAAAACTCATAACGAAAACATCCTCAAACGTACAATTTTACTTACAAATTTTAGATTGTACCAAAAACAAATGAATTTGTACAATGCTGGAACAACAGTTCTGTTTTTAGCTTTATGTCTTTGAATATACAAAATTAGTTAAATTGTACATTTCATTAAATATAACATTTTTTTTTATAAAAAATGGTTTTGACAGTTAACAGTAATATTGTCTGAAAAGTGCAACAAAAGTATTGAATACTGAACATTTGTGATGTTCATAGTAAAAGATAAACACTGAAAAATTAATTTGCTGATTGTAAAAAAGTGCATTAAACTTCTTACATTTTAAGGTAGTAAATGACAGTGGCTCAAGTTTGGTTTGCAAATTTGAACAGCAATCTATTTTTTCAGCAAGAAACAAAATTGCTGAAAAATTCTACTCTACTTAAAGAAATACTTTTTCAATATAGAAGACATACAATTTTATACAAGTTTTACAATATAAAAGAAATCATGCAATGCAGATTTCACATAGGACAATCCAAACTTACATACAGGTAAAATAATTTTTTTTAAATAATTTCATATTCTAGAATTTCTTTGCGGCCCCCCTAGCGCCATCTAGTGGCCCCCAGTTTGAGAACCGCTGGTGTTGTATAATATGTTGTCATGGAAATTTGCTTGTGTTTTTTTTTTTTTTTTTTTTGTATCTAATGACTTGTCTTGCTTGGTTTCTTAGTGTTGCTTGTTATTTGTTTAATCCTGCTATCTGACCCTGTCTTGACTAGGTCTCACTTGTAAAAGAGGTTTTAACCTCAATGTGACTTTCCTAGTTAAATAAAGGTAAAAAAAAAAAAAACTTCTGGTACACATGGATCACACGGTCCGGATGTGGGCTGACGGACACTATGTTGCTGTCTGGGTGAGATTGTGCAGAGATGTCTGTTGCGTTTACCTGATGATAAGGCCGGACTCGTGTTAAGAGAGTCATGCAGTATGCCGTCGAAGGGTTTAAAGGGCAGATCGTTGTGCAGGATCTTAAACAGCACGACTCCTACAGTCCAGACGTATGCCGGCTCGGCGCAGAACACTTCGTCCCTCAAGACCTCAGGTGGGGTGTACAGGGGTGCTCCTAAAAGAGAGACTGTTTTAGTGTCTATAATACCGTGATCAATTGCTGTTATGTACGCTAACATAAATAACTGCTAACACACCTCGATATTCACAGCTGTTGAAGCCCTCACTCCTAATCAGAAGACCACATCCGAAGTCGATCAATTTGAGCTTCAGACTGTCGTCCAGCAGGATGTTCCCCGTGTGGATATCACCATGGAAAACTCCACGGTCAACACAGTGTTTCACAGCTTGGACTAACTGATGTATGATCCAGCGTGCTTCTGCTTCACCGATGTCGTCCGAATACGTGATGTAATCCTGCAAGGTCTGGCATGGATCGGGTTTCTCCATGATGAGATTGGCGCTTCTCTCGTCCTCGGTCCAGATGTATAATTTGATGATGTTGGGGCATGAGGGAGCTTGTCCCAAACGCAGCATCAGTGCCACTTCTTCAAGCACAGGTTTGGAGTCTTCAGGCTAGAGAGAAGAACAAACAGTTTGAGTAGGAACGCATTAGGTGGAAAATTTGAAGATTGTTCAAGATCAAGTTTATTAGTATAGCACATTTAAAAACACCCACAGCTGACCAAAGAGCTTAAAGGGTTAGTTCACCCAAAAATGAAAATTAAGTCATTAATTACTCACCCCCATGCTGTACCAACCCCGAAAGACCTTCGTTCATCTTCAGAACACAAATTAAGATATTTAAGATATTAACTCTTTCCCCGCCAAACACGGAATTTTCTGGGTTTAATGAAAAAACGCATCTGCGCCAAACACGGAATTTTCCGGGTATCCGTGTTTTAGGTGGTATACGGTAAGGAAGACCCGCGCGCATGTTCTGAATGAGTGCGCAACTCTTTGATCAGAGAAACAGATTGCAATCGTCTCAAACAGTGGAGTAGTGAGAATGTATCAGACAGACAATACAGAGGTATATGGCTGAAGTACTGGAGGTTAATGGACTCGGAGTCCGATCACTCTTTATTTGATAATTCTGAATCTGATCGGGACGAAGTAGTCAGTGAGAGAGATGCACATGTTGTCACAGAAAGTTCTAGCCATGGACGTGCCGCAGATAGATCGTATAATATTATGACACTATAATATGTATGTGTGTGTGCAGGCATTTATGTGTGGCTGTCTAAATATGAAGGTGTAATTGTCAAATTATTTCTCTCTTTGTGCACATTTACCACATTGTAATATGTATTTGTGTGTGTGTGTGTGTGTGTGTGTGTGTGTGTCTAGGCCTGTTTATTGTAATTCCAATTATTCATTATTCACAGGTAGAACACAGAGAGGCAGAGGCAGAAGTTTTATTGCAAAAGTTACATTTCCCTTACATCCTGGGAAATTTGATATATTTTACATTTATTTTATGTTTTTAATTTATTTTGGAAAGTTTTATAAATGAAGGAAACAACATCTGAATGTATTCTGCTTTTAAATGCACTTGTTTGATAAAAATACCTTTTTCTCAGTTTTTTGTCCAAAATGTTGTGTTTTTGACAAAACCTACCTCTGTTCAAGAGGCAATAAAAAAAGAACAGATGAAGATAAAATAAAAACGTTTTTTTTGCCTAAAAGCAGAGGCTCAGATCTTTATTTTTATATATATCATCTTCATATATTCATGGAAGAAAATATTCAGCGGGGCATTCAAATTTAGCGAAAATCGTCAAAAACCCTGGCGGTGGCTGGCAACTTTTTTTTAAAACGCTGGCGGGGAAAGAGTTAAGATCGCTCCTGCATACAGTCCATAGGCTTCTTGAGGGACTGGCTCTTGCTGTCCCCGAAAAGTCATTAAAGACATCGTTAAAATAGTCCAAGTGACTACAGGGGCTCAATCTTAACTTTATCAACAACAAAAATGACGACTTTATTTCAACTATTCGTTTCTGCGCGAGTCAGGTTACTAGTTTAATAGCGTAGGCTTCTGTTATTGTACGTCACACGCATCACACACACATGACCAGCGTCGGACAATAGTGAGCCTACGTGTGACATAGCTCTACGCAATCATACTACGTTAACTGACTACAGGCTCATGGAGAAGGAAGTGAATAGTTGAAATAAAGTCGTTATTTTTGTTGTTTTTTGCGCACACAAGTGTTCTCGTCGTTTGATAAAGTTAAGATTGAGCCCCTGTAGTCACTTGGACTATTTTAACGATGTCTTTAATGACTTTTCGGGGACAGCAAGAGCCAGTCCCTCAAGAAGCCTATGGACTGTATGCAGGAGCGATCTTAATATCTTAAATATCTTAATTTGTGTTCCGAAGATGAACGAAGGTCTTACGGGGTTGAACAACATGAGGGTGAGTAAATACTGACAGAATTTTCATTTTTGGGTGAACTAACCCTTTAAAAATGTCAGGATACACGCAAATAACTATATTTAAAATAAATACATTTCCATCTTCTAGACTCACTGCTTCATGTTTTGACAATACTCGTCGCTTAGGTTAGTCAACTTACAGTGTCGAGATAACGCTCCCGTCCACGCTTGTGTATATGCTTGATGGCAACCTGTGAACGGCAAAATAAGCACATTAAAGTACCTGGTCTGCACAACTACAATCGATTCGTGTTTAAATTAAGAGAGACGACACACATGTCTACACCAGGAGCAAAATATTGGTTGAATTCAATAAGAATAAAACTACCTTGATACAATCACAAAATATGTGGGTTCCCTCATAAACCTCTGCAAAACTTCCTGCTCCTATCCTTTCTCCCACGCTAAAAAGATCAGACACCACGGTTCCTGAAAAACACACAGGACAAAGAACAGAGACATATATAAATGAGGCAGTTTCCTTTGATTGTCTGATATTAACTCAAAATCTTAGATATCGGATATATGTAGCAAATCAGCTACAATAAGTTTCTTAAAGGATTAGTTCACTTTTGAAAAAACTTTTGCTGATAATTTACTCACCCCCATGTTGTCATCCAAGATGTCCATGTCTTTCTTTCCTCAGTCGAAAAGAAATTAAGGTTTTTGATGAAAACATTCCAGGATTTTTCTCCATATAATGGACTTCAATGGGAACCGGATGGTTCAAGGTCCAACCGACAGTTAATAAGAAATTTTAGAAAAGTTACATTTTTGGAATAAGCTTTGAAATAACCGATCGTTTCGCATGATAAGACCCTTATTCATCGTCTGGTGTCGTTTAAAGACATTTGAAGCTGCATCTGAAACTGTTATAACTGTCGTTTGGACCTCCGACCGTCTGGTTCCCATTGAAGTCCATTATAAGGAGAATAATCCTGGAATGTTTTCATCAAAAACCTTAATTTCTTTTCGACTGAGGAAAGAAAGACATGGACATCTTGGATGACATGGGGGTGAGCAAATTATCAGCAAAAGTTTTTTCAAAAGTGAACTAATCCTTTAATGTGATGTCAGAGTCTCAGAATTATAAGTAGGAAAGAACAGGGCAGAAATATCAAGAAGCAAAGATAATAATGCCTCACCGTATCGCAGTCCGAAAGGCAACGGCTCTGGATCGTCCGGCTCCGGTACTGACTGGAAAGGCATCAGCTCGGAGTGGGCCGGATCCGATCCGTGGCGGAGGAAGAGCCCCTTTGCAGCCTCGCCTAATCTCCGGAAGAAGGCACGGACTGCTCTCCTCTTCCTTCCTTTCTTAGCTTTTCCTAAAATGAAGAACAATCATTAGGTAACATTACATTAACGTTAACAATGAGCAATACATTTGTTACTGTATTTGTTAATATTTGTTAATGTTAGTTGATAAAAAATCCATTAACTAACTAATGTTTACGAATACAAACTTAAACAACTAAAACTAAAACATCTCTGTGAATGATGATTAGATTAATCAAGGCAATTAAAGATGAAAATAGTATAACAAAGATCATTTGCAGATTTTTAACTCAAGCGATGTCAAATCAGAATTATAACTGAAAGTAATAATAATAAAAAGAATAGATCAGAGAAAATAACAGATGGCAGAAATAAGATGAACAACGTAATAATGACTCACTTTCATTCGGATCAAAACTGGAGGGATTTGAAGCAGGCGACAGCTCAGAGTCAGCAGGATCTGTGTTCAGCGTTTCCTCAATCCTGAGGAAATCTGACACACACGGGGACTCCAGATCCTCACACACCTGGCCTGGCAAACACACCAGCTCAGGATATGTGCCCGGCGTTGGCATGTTCCTCACAGGACTTGAAACACGCTTTAGCTCGGGGTCCTCAAGATCTGGCTGTGGTTTAAGACACACCACTCTGTTGTCCTCGCGAATGAAAGGGGACTTTACAGCCGTCCATCCATTGCGAAAGAAAGCTCGGACTGCTTTCCCCGTGCTACGTTTTGTAGGCTTTCCTATAAGAAAAAAATGGTTGTAAAGGACATGATCACAGATGAAAGACAAACATATTCCATTTACAAACATAAACATGGTTTTATCTGATTAATTCATTAAAGAAAAAACAAATTGCCCTTTTGCAAATTCATTTTCCTGGACTTGGCCAAAAGTCAAACATGAGCTCACGAAGGACCAGTGTAAGATTGAAAAATACAAGAACACTACAAAGATTATTCACATAAAATACTTCTTCACTTTAAATAACGAGGAACAGCATGTTTCCCTGATGTGAAGTGGATGAAAAAGAAAAATTCTGGTAGGCTACTGTGTTTTGCAATGAAGAAAAGAAAAAGAAAGTTTCATAAAACTATAGACTGCATAACACATTAGACTGCAGTCACTTATTTATCATACAATGCACACCGAAAAAAAAAAAATAGCACCTTCAGTAAATTCAATTTCGATGTTTTGATACATTTTTTTTTAACTTCCTTTCTCACAGAAAATATAGAGGTATTTTTTCTATGAACATTTCTGAAATGCACTTTTTGAAACACTGTATTATGAAAAAGCGCAATGCACATAATTTAAACTGAAGACCTGACCCTCCTGCTGTGGAGAACCAAAACGGACATTTTGTTGTTCGTTCGTTCAGATAGTCGAAAAAATTGCTAACACTACATTGCACTAAGTTTATTATTTCAGATGCATTTTTAAAAGTGTAGCCTACTATTAAAAAAAATGTAATTCCCGCCGAAGCCAGTTACGGAGTGTGTTACACGCCACTTATGAACTATACACCTGCATTTGGCGAGTGTTAATGTCAAGTATATAACTGTATTATTAATATAAATGTATAAATGATACTTGTTTGTCTCTTCCATCTCACCTGCTGGGCTGTTCTCCATGGTCTCAGCTGCCAACTCCGCGATGCTGACAGAATCAGACAGCTTGTCTGAGGGAAAACTGGTCATCGCAACTCTGCTCAACTTCACGGCACTCGATGAACAACGTGTGTGTGTTGCTCTGTGTGCAAATGCTAAGTGAAAATCAGTAGGCTATGTGTATGATAATGTGAAAAAGTGTGCAAAATCAGTCAAAATCAGTGTGTGTAAAGCCAGTAAAGTTAGTAGAATCGCTCTGGTCAACTTTCTCTCTCTCACTGCAGTTTGAGTGAATGTTCTTCTCTGTGACGTCACAGAACCTTCGATGCAGCGGATTTCTGTTTTGTTTTGAAATTTTCAGGTCAGAAACCACTGTTCAATGTTTTGCTTATTGAAGTACAACATTAGGCTACTTTGGGACTATCTTTGACTCATGTTACAAGAAGGCTTTAAAAACTATTGAAATATGCCAGTCTTTTAACCCTGGAGAACCCAAGAACCCTTTTCTTCTTTGGAAAATTATGAACAATGCATTAAATTACTGCTATAAGTTCAATGAACACCAAAATATCCACTTTTTCAATTTTAACCCTTTATTCCCTAATTTAGGATTAGGGCCAAATTTGATTGGGCTTTAGGCGTATTATTTAAAAAATCACAATAACACATTCTGCCAAACTATTTTAAATATAGGAAAATAATCAGTCAACCACACAGCTACATTTAACAATGTTTTTTTTCTTTCTTTTTTTTTCTGTTGCTTTATTTGTTGCATGTTAGAACTGGATTTCAAACGTGCAAACACTTCGGCCAATGGAAACAAGAACACAAGACCAAAATCACTACCTGAAAAAACTAACACCATGGGTCTTGCTTATCCAAAAATCTGTTCTGCTAGAGAGAGGAACTCATTAGACATTGTGGTAGTCTTTGAAACTATTTATTTATTTATTGTTTCGTTGTTGATGCAGAGAGGAACTGTACATTTTTCACAGTGCCGGAGTGGTCATACTCCCTGAAAAGATATACTACTTTATTAGTCTCTGGCCCTGTCCTACTTGAAATAATTTCATTTGTATAATATATTTTACTAAGTTGGTAACTTAGTAAAATATATTATACAAATGAAATTATTTCAAGGCTTTAGCCAAATACAGGACTGTCACCATTCTCCATCAAAGTCACTCAAAGAACCAAAGGGTCATTTTTGACCCAACATTTGTTTAACCCATACAGCCAGAGGGTCATTTTTGGCCCATTGTTTTTTTTAACTAGCTCAGAGTCCCTAATTTATCCAAAAAGAATATAAAACGTACTTCTGGGCATTCTGCAAGCTAATACTGAATAGATTAACAAAAAATATACAATTTTACCAATCGCTTGCTGAGAAGACGAGTTTGGACAGGTTTACAGCTCAACAAAACAGCATGTGGTCAGCCATCTTGTTACTACCACTCTGACACTTGTGAGTTCAATATTCATCCACTAGGTGTCTCTATGCAGTGGCCAGAAGTGGCACTCTGGGCTTTTGAAGTTAAATTACATTTTTTTTTAAATTATTTTGGGTAGCAGCAATTAACAGGGGTCAAATTTGACCCTGTGGGTTTCTCCAGGTCTTTTCCCTTTGATATGTATTTTTTTTTTTTTCTCTGACTAGTTATACCCTGACTTGTAGTCTTTTTTTATTTTGTTTTTGTATTTTTTTTCTGTTTATTTGTTCTATATTGTGATTGTTCTCTTTAAAAATGTTTCATTAAAAAAAAGAAATCTGTCTTGTTTTGTTTCGAAATATAAAAACACTGGCCTGAAAACTAGTACCTCACAATCTATTCTAGACTATTTCACTTAATATTTCGATTTAAATATTTTTTGAAAATTTAATATTTATCAAATACTTCACCGAGGATCTGATTCGTTGTGCAATTTTAAGAACTTTAAAGGGAAATTAAACTCAAATGACATTATAACACATTCATAGAGCTCATGTTTAAACTGACTGTCATTAGAAATAGGCGACATTTTAAAGGGGAAATGAAGCAGTCAATCAAGTTTACATGATTTACTAGATGTATTTCCACTATAATCAACCATTATATAAGAAACATGACAAACGTCAACATATAAAAGAAAAAAAAAATTCCTTTAAGGTTACGGGAACGTTCCCGGAACATTCTTCTTACGTTATAAAAATGGAACCTAAAAATAACCTACATTGAACGTTCCTATAACGTTCTTGTTTGGACCTTCCTTACATGTAAATCCTTACATGTTTCCTGATGATCTAACCTTACTTTAAAAAAAAAAAAAAAAAACCTAAACCTTCCCCTGTCCCATGTAGGTTATATTAGCCAGTACTTTCTAGGTACGTACACTGTAAGTACTGTCCTTGAAACATTTGTCAGCAATCAATTAAAATAATTTCTGTCTGTTAATAATACCCTGTATGACTTTCAATCTGGTTTTAGAAAACAACATAGCACAACTACGGCAGCCTTAAAGGCATTAAATGATTTTATTGAATCTGTAGAAAACAAGAAACACTGTGCAGCCTTATTCATTGATCTATCAAAAGCATTTGATACTGTTGATCATACTTTACTGACACAAAGATTATCTTCTATTGGATTATCTAAACATACGATTGGCTGGTTTAATAACTATCTTTCAAAGGTTTTATCTCTGGTTCACTTAATGGTGTGCCCCAGGGGTCAGTCCTAGGACCACTCCTATTTACTCTATATATAAATAATATTGATCAAAGTTTCATTATTATGCTGATGATACAGTAACATATAGTTCTGCATCCACACCCAATCTAGCTCTTTCTCAATTACAGCTTGCATTTGATATTGTTCAGCATAACTTAATTGAATTAAAACTGGTTTTAAATGAGGATAAAACAAAATCTATGTTGTTTTCCAAATCCAAATCAATCCCTCATAATAATCTTCTGCCCATTACTACGTCCCAAGGTTAAAAAAATTGAGTTTGTGTCTCAGTACAGGTATTTGGGTATTGTAATTGATGACGCTCTCTCCTTTGGCCTTCATGTCAAGCTCAAGGTTAACTTGAGCTTATATTGAATTAACCCGTAGTATAAATATTGTCATGTATCGGGAAACATCCTTATGTGTATAGAACTTCTGAATCAATACTTTCATGGATTATAGATTGATTACTTATTTAGATTTTTATTTATTTCTTTTTTGTTTCTTTTTTTTAGGTATTTGTTTAAATATGGTATAGGGGGGTAGGAGTACATAAGTTTTACTTCTTCCTACTCCTTTTTGCACATGTAAATAGAGGGTTGTTTTTTGAATTTGTTTTTTTTGTTTGTTTCTTTTAATTGATATTCCTTGTTTCATTGATTAATATCTGTATTTTTATTTATTATTTACATGTTCAAAATAAAGATCTCAAATCAAATCAAATCAAATGTCCAGCAACTGGTGAAAGGACTTAAAACTTTCAAAATATGAAATTTCAAAGCAATGTGTTTGCATAATTTGCTATTTCTCTTGCGCTTTAAAGACTTAAGTCCATAGTCTATATAGATGTAGACGATTTTATAGATGCTTATTTGCTTATCATTTAGAAAATAAGAAACAGAAATATCCATGTATCTGCCTCTCCTTTATTGCTTGCTTTCAGGAAAGATCATTCCCTCGTCAGTGCATTATTATTTGGGGGAGATTGAAAACCCCTGCCTTCCCTTTCCATCTTTTGTCAATAAAAAGTAACCAGACAACTCAAAAAGACAATTATATAAATGGAAGATGATGACTCTCACTTACAGTTTAATATCATAATAAAGTGTTACCATGGGATTGCTTATGATAATAATAACAAAAAAAAAATCATGCTGACTATTTAAAATGTTTATTTGATTTACATTATGTAAAAAAGTTAAAAGACAAAATACTATTAACAAAACATCACACAAAAAATTATAATAATAAGGTAACCCATGTCATCTTGCCTTTGTTCCTGGTTGGAGAAACCCATTTCAACAGTCACGTTTCATACTTACAGTATTATCCTTATCCTTCATAGTATTTTTCTAGCAAATACCTCTCAATACAGAACACCTTCCATTCTCCTTTCCTAACTCAGGCACTTGCATGTGTTGCAGGTTTAAAGATGGACTGCTTTTATAGCAACCAGGAGCGGATGACCATAGAGCAAAGTCAGCATTTGATTTCTGGTGCTCCCAGTATTGTCAAGTCCACTGGGCACCTATTTAACACTGGTTTAGTTTTCTGATAAACAAAACGAATGGAAAACAAAACACACAAAATATGTTTAGTAACATAAAATACACATTTCCAAATGTAGTGTTAACAATAAACATGTTTATCAAATGTATGCTTGAAACCAGTCAAACGCATTTGACAATGATTGTAAAATATCTAAGCACCTTTAGTCAATGGTTTGAAAATACTTTGGGCAATACTGACATATAAAAGATCGACAATATTATGGCTGCTCTGAGGTAATCCATTATTCACTAACGTGGACAATTGGTACTGCGAAACAGAGTTGCTTTTATGTGCAATAACATTTACACAACAGAAATCGAATAGAAATTAAATGGGTGCCACCGTTCTGTAAACCTTAAGACATTTCTTGCTTCTCCTCTTTCCACACCTTCCCTTTACTCATCGGTTCCACAGTGCAGAGTCTATAAAAAGTGCAGCTTGAAACTTAAAGTTTAAAGAACCTACAATATTTATTGATTATTTGTACTTGGCTGTAAACTAAAAGACTCGAAATTTGAAACGTAGCGTTATAAAGCTAGAGTGTTTAAAGGGTTAGTTCACCCAAAAATGAAAATTAAGTCATTAATTACTCACCCCCATGCTGTACCAACCCCGTAAGACCTTCGTTCGTCTTCGGAACACAAATGAAGATATTTTTGATTAAATTTGAGAGCTGTATAACTACCACATTGGCTCCTAAGGGACTGCCTCTTGACGGCCAAGAAAGTCAATGAAGAAAATGTTTAAATATCCCAAGTGACTACCGTGGCTCAACTATAAGTTTATCAAGCGACGCGAATACTTTTTGTGCGAAAAAACAAACAAAAATAACGAGTTTATTCGACAATTTCTTTTCTTCCTTGTAGGCCAGAACGAGACTTCCTTAGATTTCCACGACGCATGCGCGAGAATTGCGATCTGAAGTAGTGTAAGCTGATGTGAGCAGATCGCAAATCTCGCGCATGCGTCGTGGAAATCTAAGGAAGTCTCGTTCTGGCCTACAAGGAAGAAAAGAAATTGTCGAATAAACTCGTTATTTTTGTTTGTTTTTTCGCACAAAAAGTATTCGCGTCGCTTGATAAACATATAGTTGAGCCACGGTAGTCACTTGGGATATTTAAACATTCTCTTCATTGACTTTCTGGGCCGTCAAGAGGCAGTCCCTTAGGCAGTCTATGTGGTAGTTATACAGCTCTCAAATTTAATCAAAAATATCTTCATTTGTGTTCCGAAGACGAACGAAGGTCTTACGGGGTTGGTACAGCATGGGGGTGAGTAATTAATGACTTAATTTTCATTTTTGGGTGAACTAACCCTTTAAGTTCTCCAGGCTTGATTTGAAGCTCCAGCTTGCTAATTGTAAGGTTTTGTAGTATGTGTTATATAGAAGCATACTTGTATTCTAATCTAGACTCAATCTGCTGATATACACTGCTCAGATATCAAGCTTTACTTATCTGCATTTACTACGCAAAAAGCACAGAACGCTTTGCATATTATACTGAGGCACAATATCATGGAGGCTGATATATTGCTAGTCACTTAAACCTTTAGCGATACATATAAGGTTTGATTAACATAAGGATGTGCAAGTAACAGTGCTAACGTATGAAAGCACACTAAGATTAAAAAGCAAGCAAACAAATTATTATGGCCTGTTTGAACTTGCGAAGGATGGAATGCGATTTTTTTTAAAAAAAAGGTACCCATAAATAAAGATGCTAATTAAATAAGTTTTCTTTAGGCAGCGATGCCGAGAGTACCTAAGGTTTCTTGGTCAGGTAATTGGAAGGAATCCAGCCCTCCATCCCTGGCCCGTCACTCACATTTTTACAAAACCACCAGCCGCTACCACTTTTCTCCAGCACTTCGAAGACAGCGCCCTCTTTAAAGCCAGGCGTCTGCTCGTCTCCTTCAAAGTCTGCCACGGCTAAGAAGAGCTCCTCCTTGGCTGGCTCCTTGATAAGGGGAGGGAGTTTGTCTCTCGGAGGCCCTGGTTTTTCTGTCTTAATGAGGGGCTTTGGTGGCACAGGTATTTTGGGCTTGGGTTCCTCCTTTTCTTTGGAGCCTGGCGAAGGGAAGGCTTTCGTTTTGGGTGGCGGGGGTCTGTTCTGAGGAGGGGCTGCTGGTTTGGCTTCCAGCAAGTCTTTTTGAGGAGCTTTGGTGTCTGTAGGACTGGCTGGCTCTGAACTCTTCTTTGGTGGTGGAGGCCTTCTTGGGGCCAAAGATGGCCTCTGGGGAGGCTCTTTTGGTGCCGGTGTTGGTGGTTTAGTTGTTTCCGATGGGTTATGGCCGTTTTGTTGCTTAGGGGGGAATTTTGGCTCTTCATTGGTTCCGCCATTATTCGGGGGGTTGCTGGATGGCGTATCGTTCTGTTGGTTGGGATCACTTGAGTTGCCAATGAGTTCTGGAAGCTTAGACGGACGAAGTTTACTCCGGAGGTTTGTGATGTCCAGCTCACTCTTAGCTACCGGCTCTGGTTTCACTGCAGGGGGTGGCTTTGGTCTGACCACTGGTTTCGGCTTCAGGAAGGGGGCTGGGTTGGCCGAATCAGGCTTCTCTTCGAGTGAATCTTGTTTGGGTTTGGGAGGCTGCTTGGCCACATGCTTTAAGTTAAACTTTTTCACCTCCTTGGCTGAGATATTGTGGCCACACTCCAAGCCCATTTCATTGCGCAGATAGAGTTGCTTGTTCTTCTCTTCCTTCTTCATCTCTGGGGGTTTGTCTGGTTTGAGAGGAGCTGCTTTTGGCGTCACCAATGGGACGATGACCCCTGGGATTTGTGGTTTGGGTGGAAGAGGTTTAGAAAGGTCTACTTTGGGTGGAGGCGGTTTAGAAAGGTCTACTTTGGGTGGAAGAGGTTTAGAAAGGTCTACTTTGGGTGGAAGAGGTTTAGAAAGGTCTACTTTGGGTGGAAGAGGTTTAGAAAGGTCTACTTTGGGTGGAAGAGGTTTAGAAAGGTCTACTTTGGGTGGGAGAGGTTTAGAAAGGTCTACTTTGGGTGGGAGGGGTTTGGAAAGGTCTGCTTTGGGTTTGTCCTCCAATTCCAGGCTCTTGTTAATGGACTCTCTCCTTGGAGGTAAAGCCGGTTTCTCTTCAGCCGTAGGTGAGGATGGAGGTGGGGGTAAGGGTGCAGAAAAATGGGAGCTGCCCTTGACCGCGTTGGGCTTCCATTCTCTTAGTTTGGAACGGGTGGAAAATTCAGAATTGGATGAAGGTTCGTCCGGCAAGGGTTTGGACCAACTATGTTCAGAGTTGGTATTATTGTTTGAGGTATCATCAAACTTCAGCTGACCCATCTCACCAGGAAGGGGAGCCAAAAAGTTAGGCCTAGAGGCATTGCAAGTCTTCTTGTATTTATCAATGAATGTGACTGGAGCCCAGCCTTCTTTTTCATCGATCTGAATGTACCACCAGCCACTGGAGTTCTTCTCAATGACCTGCGAATACAGGGTATGAGGTAAATGTAGAGATGCATTTGGAATAGATAGATGTATTCGAGTAATGTTAACTCACTTCAACTTTCACTCCCGCCTGAAAGCTAATGCCATCTGGAATGGTTGTCTGAAAGTCAGCGATGGTGTAATATTCCTCCTCTACTTGGGGCGGCACTGGGGGTTTAGGCAGGTTCACTCCTCGAGGCTGGAATTAGAGACAGTTAGCACGTCAAAATCCTAAGTATCCTGTAGAACGGGGATGGGCAACGTCGGTCCACTGTCCTACAGAGTTTAGCTCCAACCCTGAAAAAAAATCACCAACTTTCTAGTAATCCTGAAGACCTCAATTAGCTTGTTCAGGTGTGTTTGATTAGGGTTGAAGCTAAACTCTGTAGGACAATGGCCCACCAGGACTGAAGTTTCCCATCCCTGCTGTAGAACCTTGCAATTGAAAAAGAAGAATCGCCCTTACTATTGTAAGATCCCGGCGTGGTGGAGGTCTCTGTCGAGCTCCTGCTTCTGCAAAAGTTTAGAGAGCAAACAATCTTTTCAAGCAAGTTTCTCTCACTTTCATCTGCTCTTGTTATGGTCCCCACAGTGGATCATCTGCGCGTTTATTTGGCATAAGCTTTACACCGGATACCCTTCCTGATGCAACTCAGCACTGAGAGTGCACTACAGTCTCAAGCAAGACTCAACTAGGGATGCATCAATATTTTTTACTTCAGCTTGGTGCCTTGATCACTCTTTTGGATTTTTTTTAGGATTAGAATAAAAAAAAAAAAACTCTTGCTTACTGCACTTGCTGTCTGAAAATGGTGAAAAGCGGTCCCGCTGATTCTCCTTGTTTTCCTTGTTGGCATTCTGCTGTTTGCAAGCCACATCTAGGTCATTAGTGCTGGCATGAACGGGGCCACCAGCCGCCATCTTCTGACTGAGAATGTCAGCCTTCTTCAGATAGGACGCCGGGGCCCAGCCCTCTTTTCCTTGGTATCTATGGGGTAAAAGGGGGAATGCTCCATCCAAGAAAATGCTTAAGTATATTAGTCCTTTTTCTGAGTACATTAGCATTTGTTTTTACCTGATCTTCCACCAGCCTTCCAAGTTTTTCTGAATGACCTCAACAGTCATGCCTCTCTCCAAATCAATTTCATCTTGATCACGTGCAGAGTAAGGATAGATTGCGGTGTACTTTTCCTCTGAGGAAACGAAAGGAATATTTCAACTTTTTTTAGTTAAAAATGCCGTTCATTAATGACTTTCAACCACTACAGCCAATTTACCACTTAATGTTTCTTTGTTTTGCACAAAATTAATACATATAATATCAATGTTCCACTAAAGCTTGACAACCAGAAATTAATCAAATACCTTTTTCTACATTTTGAACAGTTTATCATTGCTTTATTAATAGATATGTGCAATTTGATTGAAAAGTTTGCTTGTGATATTTTTTGTTAAAATAAATGGCACTTGAATATTTACTTATCCAATGCAATGGCATCCAAACATTTTCTTAAAAAGATTAATTGAGCTAACAATGCTTTCATTGTTTTGCTAAAGTAGTTGAATGGACATGTGGTAAATTTGGTATTGTGGTAAAATATTCACTTTTCACATTTGTATCGATATTGTACAGGAGGTTGGGGGAGGATCTGATCAGATACTATTGACAGCATAAGCACATTTGCTGGAAAGAATGATTAATTTAACATGCTCACAACAAAATCACAATCTAAACATAACACGACTTCACCAGGTTTAAATGCTTCTTATATTCATACATTCACTTCTATGCCAAATACAAGCTTTAGTTTTATTTATTTTTTTTTTTATTTCTCCTAGGGCTGTTAAACGATTAATCGCATCCAAAATAAAAGTTTGTTTACATAATATATGTGGGTACACTGTGTATAATTATTTTATGTATATATATAAATACACACACATGCTTGTATATATTTAAGAAATATTTTCATGTATATATAGATTTATATATAATTTATATTATATATAAATATTTTCTATATAAATAATATTTTTTTCTTAAATATACATGCATGCGTGTGTTTATATAAAAATGTTTATATATATAAAATTAGTATACACAGTGCACCCACATATATTATGTAAACACAAACTTTTATTTTGGATGCGATTAATCGCGATTAATCGTTTGTTTGACAGCCCTAATTTCTCCATTACTTTAATATTGAATACAAATATTTGGTTGTGCAGCACAACACAGTATGAAACCGTGTGAATCATTCTGATTTACTTCTGATATAATTAATAGAATACCGAACTCAACGCTACTGTATGTATTTAACTGTATAATACGTATTGTAATACAAAAGAAATGTAAAAATGTATTATTTAAAAAAATAAATAAATAAAAACTATATAAAAAAAAGAAAGACTAACACACAGGTGACGTCACTTCTTCTCCTCTTTGCTTGTGTGATTAATTTGTTTAAATTGTGATTGTGTTTTACTGTCTGACATTTTTACAGAGTTTTCATGACAAGTCATGCATCAACCAACACCATTTCTTTTGCAGGAGCATGAGTTATTTCATGTGCTTTGGTAATTATTTTTGTAAATAAGATATGACTTGGGACATAAAGTAAAAGGAAAGTATTATACAAATAATAATAATGACACATGTGTCACAATTCCCTGATTCATGCTTTGTTCAGTTCTACACCACATCCAGTGCAGTGCATGCAATGGCGCATGCAGAAGTCACAAATGCGGGGGGTGGGTGCGGGAGACCATCACAATAGAGTGATAGAGTGGTATGCTTTCCACCTTGGCCAAAGCCTGTGCTGAACAGATCCCCTAAAGTACGCCGGCGACCAACGTGCCTCGGCAGTGACCAGAATCTCCGGCACACTCCAGCAGAGAGCAAGCAGACACATGTGAAAACCTTCAGGTCACGTCTCTTAAATGTTGGGCCACCAAATATACAATCTTTGCCATGTAGTGCTGAAGTAAAACTAAAAACTGCACTTAAATCTGAAAAACTCTATCCTTCTTAATTCGCATCTCTCTTTATGAATCACATCTGAGTCAGACTTCCTTTCTATAACTTTGTTGAATGGTAAAGTGTGTAATTTTTGCGTCACTAAAAGTGTCAGAAGTCTGGAGTTCCTGGGTTCATAGCATTTGCTTAAAGAAGATATCTTAAAGAATATTAGTAATCAAACAGTTGACGATACTTACAAACTATGTATGTCAATGGCTACTGTCTGGTTACCAACATTCTTTAAAAACATCTTCTTTTTGTGTTTAGCAGAAGGAGGAAACTCATAGAGGTTTAAAACAACATGAGGGTAAGTAAATGATGACAAAATGTTGATTTCTGGGTGAACTATCCCTTTAAGCAATGCATATAAACCCAAGAACTCTAGACAACAACAACAACAACTGCTTTGCTAACTTTATATTGTTTGGGTTTCCACATTTGACACTCGGTGGTCTTTTATACTCAAAATCTGCTCATCAAGAGTCATCAATGGTCTGATCTCTTAAAGGGATACTCCACTTTTTTTGGAAATAGGCTCATTTTACCACTCCCCTAGAGTTAAACAATTGGGTTTTGCCGTTTTCAAATGAATTCAGCCGATTTTTTTTATATTTAGAAGACCAGACAGTATATTATATCAGTAACCAGACAGTTTCTGGGCTCATTGATTCCTACTATGGAAGTCTGGTTACTGATATTCTTCTAAATATAAAAGAATTCATTCGAAAACGGTAAAACTCAACTGTTTAACTCTGGGGGAGTGGTAAAATTAGCCTATTTCCAAAAAAAAGTGGAGTATCCCTTTAACATCCCTAGTGCACACGCACCCTATTTATGTATGTTTGGAATTCATTAATACACACACACAGGTTTAACTACCAAATCTGTGGTATACAAAGCGTTTGTGAATCCGGAGGAGAGTTCATTTTACACGCTAATTTACTTACGAAAGTTTCATGAATGAGGCCCATAGTCTCTGCATTAAACATTCAAAAAATTACACACTTCACCTTTAAGAGAACCCAAATCTGAATAAACAGGACTTGTTGTAGACATTTTTTTCAGGTGAGATTCATGTGGAACAAATACAAGACTCACCTTCTTCTGCTGGAAATGAGAAATCATCAGGGTCATCCTGAGCTTCCAGACATGTGGCTGGTACCCAACCCTGGGCATCATCGGAGCTAACAAACCACCAGCCTGGGAAAGGAAATAATAAATGCCTTCTCAGGTGCTCAGAAAACCATATGGGTTTGGAGCATCATGAAGGTGTTCACTCAACAGAACAGGTCTGAATGACTTTGACAATAAAAGCGAAAGGATCCTACCGGACTCATTTTTCTCGATGACCTCCACCACCTGCCCCACGTACAGGCTGACCTCAGAGCTCTCCTGTTTCTCGTAGTCCGTGACGGCCACGTATTGGTCCAGCATCAGCGGGTCGGCTGAGGACGAGTCTCCTCCTGGAGGGACAGAGTGGACAGGTATCGACAACTGTCCTAGCGTGCCACCACCACCACCACCACGACAAGAGAAGAAGGAAGCAAACGTGATTGGAAAAGATCAAAGCAGGAAAGCCAGAGGTTTTAGTGCTGGGAGTCTTGCAAGGAAACAAACCCACACCAAATCAGCAACACTGCTACAGCAAATACGGAACAGAGCGGGACAATTATCAAATGGCTTAAAGCACATTTACCTGAGCCTAAACAATACAATCCATGGTATAAACAACACCATTGCAGTGCACAGTATTAGTTTGGTGATTTTTACCAAATCATTGAAGCAAAGACTATTTGTGTGCCCATTTCTGTGAATGATTTCATGAGGGACTTGTCTGTCCATTTCTATCTATTTCAGTGATCTCAGTTTGGGTTGAAACTCCACTGAAACGTATGGTCTGTAAGAAAAAAGTTGACTAAAAGTACTGTTAAATCAGCATTCTGAAATTATTATTTTACACCTGAATGTTGGACAATGAAACTGAAATCTGGCCAATATAGTGTTGGAGGATTCATGCCAATATATGAGCGGCCTGGTGGCCAATCTTCACTTGTTTTAAGAGCCGAGTGTGAAGGTTGAGTTAGAAGAGTGATAGCACAGCTGTACATAAAATATTGCAATCCACACAATATAATGGGAGACATATCAGAGTTCAAAATGGTTGGTGAGTGTCTCGCTGGCTCATCCGTGACAGCAAGTCTCCACAGTGTGGTGTATCGAGAGCAATGGTATCCATTATGTCGGCATACCTCCACGTAGGACTAACCACAAGAAAGGGATGTCCAGGAACCAACCTGGATTGTATCCAAAAAACAAAACCACAGCTGCCCAACTCGACTGTCCCGTTTCCACCGAAACTGTTTATCCCGAAACTCCACAGATTCAATGTTCATTAGGGTTGGGTATCGAGAATCGAGTATCGACTGGAACCGGGACTAACTTTTCGTTTTCCCCGGAATCGTTCAAAAGTTAAAATTTCGTTTCCTAGTTTCGATATTCACAGTCCGCCGAGCGGAAGAAGAAACCGCTGAACAACACCAACGAAGAAGCGTCTACTGGAAGTGTTGGCATAACCGCGCGAGTCGAACATGAGTAGCTTACGTCGGCGATCCAAAGTGTGGCTTCACTTTTCTAAAAATAACGAAATCTCGGCAAAATGCAAAATTTGTGACAAAAGGAGTATTTGTGACAGACGGAGTATTTCCTTCAGAAAGACCGTTGGTTAGCAAGGTTAGCTAAACTTTTTTGACCCTGCCTCTTAAAAGAATCGCAATCGAGAATCGTTGGGAACCGGAATCGAAACAAGGAATCGGAATCAGAATCGTTCAAATTCAAACGATACCCAACCCTTTGGTCACTCATGCAAATGCCAAATGTTGGTTTCATTGGTGTCAACAGTGCAAATCTTGGACTGTGGACGAAGTGAAACATGAATGAGGCATTTATATAGCACTTTCATATGTACTACTGTACACCCAAAGTGCTTTACAATCATATCAGGGGATCTCTCCTCAATCCACCAGTGTGAGCATCCACTTGGATGATGCGACGACAGCCACAGTACAACACCACACACCAGATATAGGTGGAGAGTGATCGAGCAAATCAGTGGATTATTAGGAGGCCATGATTGGCTAGGGCCAATGGGTGGAATGTGGCGTTACACCCCTACTCTTTTACGAGAAGTGCCATGGGATTTTTAATGACCACAGAGAGTCAGGTAGGGCCCTATGAAATCCGTTTTATTTTTTCCCAAATTCCGTTTTATTTTTTCCCAAATTCCGTTTTTTCCGTCTTAATTTTTGGGAATTAGGTTTTTTTACCCTTGACTGTTATTTTAGTTGTAAAAATAGTATGCTTTTAAAGTTAATGATTAAAATGTATTCAAATACAACTGAAAGAATACGGTGCGAGTTTTAAATAGTGTTAAAAACCGAAACGCAGTATGTGGCGGCGAATTAGTCAATGTGTGGGAAACACTGCATAAGTCACGTGCGAACTGCTCGTCTCGGCACTGACGGCTTATAGCGTCGAGTTTCTTAACTTTTAGCCGACGAAAGCAGAGCCGCTTCGCCATGCTTTCATTGATTTGATTTCGTCATTGGAGCTGAAATGACGAGTTGAGGGGTTTGTGTCGCCCAGATTTGCTTCCCCTGGTCTGCATTTTCACCAGATATGCGTTCATCTCCCACACAAAAACAGAATTTCAAACCAAATATGTAAAAATCCACGAAATTCCCCGTTAACACTAGATTCCGCGTTAATTGGCCAATTCCGCGATTCCGTCCGTGATTTCGTTATCGCGGAAATCATAGGGCCCTAGTCAGGGCCTCGGTTTAACATCTCATCCGAAGGACGGCGCTCTTTGACAGTATAGTGTCTCTGTCAATACTGGGGTGTCAGGACCCACACAGAGCACAGGGTGAGCGCCCCCTGCTGGCCTCACTAACACCTCCAGCAGCAACCTGGTTTTCCCAGAAGTCTCCCATCCAAGTACTAACCAGGCTCACCCCTGCTCAGCTTCAGTGGGCTACAGGGTGACCAACATGTGTTGTTCTTTGATGAGTCCACCTTCACTGGGAGTTACGGTGCGGAAAAGCCCCAAAGAGGCTTCACACCCTGGACTGTTGCTGCTCGGAGTGAAGGAAGGGTGATGGTTTGGGCTGCAATATCATGACAATCCCTACTGTGCTTGATTCTCTACTGTCCCTGAATGGGGGTGCCGTGTATCAGCATGATGATGCATCAATACACACAGCAAGACTGGAGACAGAATAGTTTGGTGAACATGAAAGTGAAGTTGAACATCTATCATGGCCTGCACAGTCACCAGATCTAGAGCTACTTTGCGATATCATGGAAGCAAGTCAAAAACCGTTTTCCTCCACCAGCATCAAATACTGTAGTGACTTAACCCAATTCACCGTTTTATGTGAACGATTACACCGTGTCCTAACTACACGCGACGCCGCGACACACGATAAAAGGTATCTTTTCCATGTTAATCAGATATTTTGTCCTAACCAGACGCGACGGCGACACGCGAAGTTTCTAATTTAGAAACGGTTCCTATTTCTGCGACGCCGCGGCTGACAGAATAAAGAAATTACATTGGTTATGAGTATACATTATTTATTTTTAGTTAAAAACAGCTCACTGTGCCACAAGTGATAACAGATAATTTACCTCAGATTTTGAAAGCATATAATATAGCGTTCAATTAGTCAATGAGTATATTTTGTTAATGTTTTGGGTTTTATTAATGTTATTTCTTGATTTGATTATGTCCTTACCCATTTCCAATGCAAGTGCGGGCCAAGAGTGCGCTTTCACAGAGAGACTCACACACGCTGTTCTTCTGAATGTGTGGTGTCTCACAGTCGCGTCTAGTGTGGACAGACACACTTCCTGTCGCTGGAATTTTATCGCGTCGCGTGTAGTTAGGACACGGTGTTAGGAGGATGATTTTCAGATCATTGCGAAGAAAAAACTCTAGGCAACAACATCAATTAGTCAAAAGTCTTGTGGACGCATATTTAGTGTGTTTTATGGCCTTATTTCAGAAACGTTCATTTTTAGTTTTTCCAATAACCACGCATAAACAATATTCTCTCAAAAATACAAACATGCTGCTCACATATTATAGTAGCCCTGTTTGTGCTAAATAGACTGTATTTTCACCTTCACGTCTGAGGCTGAGATGAATGATTAACCCGACCACTGTTCTGGAAGAGGAATGCCTAAACATCCCTCTAAGGACTTGGATCTGTCATTCCCAAGATGAATCAATGCTGTCCTGGCCGCAAAAGGAGGCCCTACACCATACTAATAAATTCAGGAGTTCATTTACCCATATAATCTTTAAGCTTAATAGGAAGCAGCTTCAACTGGAGCTTAGATACAACCCCCAGTGGGACTTCTAATGCTTGGATGAGGAGTATGGTCCCTAAATTATGTTAGTGGAGTTGACGCCAAAACATCTGATGCCAGAGCAAGGTGAGCGGCTGCTTATATGCTCCGGCGGTAAATCGATGTGAACCTCACTTATTGTGGTCTAAAACCAGGTGTTTTAGTGTCATTGTCCAACCCCTGTACTGTATTTAGATTGACCCCAAACCTTTGAATGGTTGCTGGCTAACTTAAATTATATTAATGTTTAAACATAAAACAATTCAAAAATGAAAATTGTTATGACTTTCTCTCTCATGTCATTCCACAGCCATGAGACTTTATTTCTTCTGTGAACAAAAAGGAGATGTCAGTGGGATGCTCCTTTCCATTAGATGACAATAATATCCACTCATGTGCTATATTGCAAGTCTTTATGATTCATAAAACAGCTCTGTGAAATAGGCCGCCATTTAAGCTGTTATTTACTGATGACCTTCCTCTGCAGATCTGAAATCTCATTTCGTCAGTGATACCAAACGCCACTGTTTTTTTCAACAGTGATCTGCCAAATCTGAATACACTTGGTGAATTATGCTTAAAATTTTGCAAATATACCATATGGCTTCAGAATAGTTGTATGGACTACTTTTGGAGACTACACAGCTACTAGTTCCTGTGTGATTTCAATGCATTTAAAAGACATGCATGACCATTTTTCAAAATTTCTCCTTTATGGAAGAAAGATAGCAACACATATGGCTTTGGAACAACATAAAAGTGAGTAAATGAGAACCAAATATTCCTTTGATATAAAGCATCCTGATCACTATAGATGATATTCCTGGCTTCTTATGATTTTGAAATCATTCACAGATAAAGTATTATTTCCATTCAATGAACAAAAAAAGATATTGTCTAAAAGCATGTACAATTCTGAATGACTACAGTTTAGAATATATATTGATGAACATTTTAATCACAAGGTTAAAGAGAGCATATAAGAACACAAAAAAACACGTCAAGATATAAAATAAAAAAGTTATCAAAATTAATTAGAATCTCTATTTTGCAGAGATCTGCCACATATTCTGCCTCAAAACACGTTTTTGATTGTATTTGTATCTATTTGGTGTTGGCGCTGCTCTCTTTTACCTTCTGAAAAAAACGTGTTAGCTGTATTACTGCTAAAACCACTAAATTTTACAACTACCATTAGTGTAAAAACTGTCCTGATCAAGCGATCTGCTAAACCAGGGTTCCCCAAACTTGGTTCTTCCAGCAGAGTTTAGCTCCAACCCTGATCAAACCCACCTGAGCAAGCTAATCAAGGTCTTCAGGATCAGTAGAAACTCACAGGTAGGTGTGTTTGATCAGGGTTGGAGCTAAACCCTCCAGGACCGAGTTTGGGAAACCCTGTGCTAAACGGTCGTCCAGTAAAGCACCACCACCACCACCACCACACTGCCATGCACATCACACAGGATCTGAGCACAAAGCTTTAGCCTTGCCCACCTAAAGAACACCCTTCTACAGAAGAGCCGCACTTCGAGGGGTCAAACACAAAGAGCATGGCTAGGCAAGTATCTGTTACTACCTCTCTTTAGGAAAGAAGACGCTCGCTCCACAATGCCTGATGAGGGAACATGATGAGAGCAGGAATGAGAGAGCGGGAAGGTGGAAATGTTCAAGTAACAAAGGAATGAAAGCATCCGCATTTAAGGGTGGATCTCCAATGCATCTCACATGAAATTTTGACTTGAGGGATCTATGAAGTGTATGGTCACCAGAGGGCACACTAACCACAGTCAGAGTGAATTACAACTCCAAAAAACAACTTACTCATGGCACTTTCTCAAAAAAGAAAATCAGTTCCTTACCAGATTTCTTTTTTCCACTGGGTTCCCTGTAAATAAACACATTCAAGTTAGGTATTTATAATGTTAAATATGTTGTTTTTTAATGCAGTATCATTGATATTCTTTGGATGATATTTCCAGATTTCATTTGAAAGTTTTAGTAATTTTAATAGTAATTGTGAAATACCGGTAGTACAAAAATAACAAATATAAAATATTAAAATAAATTAAATTAAATAAATTAAATTATTATTAAATATAATTAAATTATTAAATATTTTTTTTGTCATTTTTATTAGTTATAAAACAGTTTGTTTTTATTATCAATATAGTTTTTGTTTTTATTTTTATTTAGTTGTAGTTTTTACATTATTTGATTTCAGTTAATGATTAATTTATTTGTAGAATATATATATATATATATATATATATATATATATATGTATATCCTATATAATTATTTTAGTTTTAGCTATCGATAATAACATCAAATGAAATATCTAAGAAATAAAACTGTGGGTCAGAGAAAAAACATTTTAAATGTATTATCTATTCAGTCATTTTAACAGCAAATTTGCCATCAATGTTTCAAACTGGTTGGTAATCATGATTATTTTTGAGTTTTCCTGAGTTTTCTTCCTTTTTTGTTGATTGCTTTACACAAATATTCACTCAAGCTGCTTTGGAAAAATATTTGCATGTGATAAATATAAATTCAACTGAAAATGGTTGTCTTCAGGTTAACACATATAGCTGCATAATAATAGTGGCTAGACTACAGAGTCAGTGAAATAATAAGTTAGCATTTTGATAATATGCTTTTAAATATCTCTAAATTGGTGTGTTTACATGTGGCAAGATATATAACTGCTTTAATATGTTTAGGAAAGGGTCCCTGCAAAGAGAAGATCATACTTGGGGGTTTTTGGAAAATCTATAGTGCTAGTGAACGCCTACAAGATGACAATAAATGTCTCAGAATAAATGCTTTCTACACTGAGAACGCCAACTCCTCCACATACTAATGATCCTGACTAGCGATAACAGACAGCAAATCATGGTTTAGTCGAGCTGTGGTGTAAACTAAAGGCTAGTGGTGATTTATTTTCGGACATTTATTGATTTAAAAAACAAACTGCTCAATATGAATTAAGGCTCGTTAAGTTATTAAGCTACTATTACGTTGTAAATATTTTACTCATTTTGAAAGTGTGTGTAACTTACTCTTTAGGTGGGTCCAGGTCTTCAGGACGCGTCTCGAAGAACACACGAACCTCCTCGCATTGGGAAATATACACCGGCAGCTGGATCAGAGCCTGAGACGACAAAATTCACGAATACTCGTTATTATGACACACATTCAGAAATGCGAGTTGTCGATAAGAAGGTCATCAATTTATGTACACTACCTTTGTTAAATAAATTTCAGTCAAAATGTATGAGGTAATAAAACAAACCAACAGATGTTGTTTAGAATAAAGGCCTGTTCACACCGGGACGAATTTCCCGCGTGATATTCGCCAACGTTTCAAAACGCCTTGTGACTAAACAGTAGGGTTGGGTATCGAGAATCGAGTATCGATTGGAACCGAGACTAATTTTTCGTTTTTCCCGGAATCGTTCAAAAGTTAAAATTTCGATTCCTAGTTTCGATATTTACAGTCCGCCGAACGGAAGAAGAAACCGCTGAACAACACCAATGAAGAAGCGTCTACTGGAAGTGTTGGCATAACCGCGCGAGTCGAACATGAGTACCTTACGTCGGCGATCCAAAGTGTGGCTTCACTTTTCTAAAAATAACGAAATCTCGGCAAAATGCAAAATTTGTGACAAAAGGAGTATTTTTACAGAAGGAGTATTTCCTTCAGAAAGGCCGTTGGTTAGCAAGGTTAGCTAAACTTCTTTGACCCTGCCTCTTAAAAGAATCGGAATCGAAAATCGTTAGGAACCGGAATCGAAACAAGGAATCGGAACCAGAATCGTTCAAATTCAAACGATACCCAACCCTACTAAACAGTGTGAGTGTGCACACCGACACGAAAAAACGGCACGCGTAAAAGCGTCATTTAAAAAAAAAAAAAGCCTCGGGTTCGTCTTTTTGGTTTGACGCCGCGTCAAAAACTATTCGACCAATGAGATTGGTGCTTTTGGTCACGTGTCTGGAGCTTCCGAAGTTACAGTAAAACACAACTTGGGGGCGCTCAAACACAAAACGGTCTTGCCGAGCACACATACGTAACGGCATCTCGCAAGATCTGCTGGTCTCGTTGGTGTAGAACATAGAACATAAAGAACTACAAACGCGACTGTGACTTCAAAATAGGACTATTTCTGTTTTACATTAAGCGCCATCTAGTGTCATGGAATGAACTGGCATGTTCACTCAGCTCATCGTCAGCGCAAACACAAAAAACGCGTTGAAAAACACTGGCGAATAAAGCACGCCGATATTCGTCCTGGTGTACACGGCCCTGAAGTCATTTATTCTCCAATCATCTTAATAACATACTTTTTTTATGACATTCTTTATAAAACAGCATGCAAAAATCAAACCCCTCAAATAAAAACACAGTTCCCACAGCTTCCCATTATAGACCTCTTTTGCGCCGACGTCACAGTTACGTCACGGCGCTAGCTGGAGGCAAAACAAAGTGAAAACTGGAGGCGGCCAATGCAAACCAGCACAGATTCGGCTACATAATAAGGAGCTTAAATAATTGTTACTATTATCAAATGTCATCTTGTTGTGTTGTTTGGTGCAAGAATTGATGAAAAATGAATAACTTTTATTTCTAGAAAATATTTACATCATTAAAATCGCACTGTAATGTCACCCTTTGCATTGTCGTGGTCTCGGCGCTGGCTCGGCAGAACTGCGGATCGTACACACAAGTGTTGTACAGGACCATATAGGCATCTAAAGATTTATTTTCTCAGTTTCTCTTTACGATCGGTTTCTCTATAAGGTACGTGTAGAAGTCAGGCCACTCAACCGAGGTAACGTAACGTTAATCCTGTCAGATCGTCCATGCATTGAGTGAGCGTGTAGGCGGCTACGGGTCGGCCAATCTGGTTCTGTCCGTTAAAAATAACTTTTGGAAATAACAATCGCGGTCCTGGACACTGAGTGACCTTACACATTAAGATAATATCGGATTTTCTCCAATCATTGTTAAAAAACAAGCTAACAATCCTTGCTAACTAGCGTTAGTGAAGCGGCCAGAGGGATCGTTCTGCCTCCACCTAAGCTCCGCCCCCACAAAAAAAACGTCACCATGTTTACCAACTGAAAAGGGGTCTATACAGACACACATGCACAATGAGAGTGATTTGCAGTGCCAATGTGACCCTTTTTTTTTTAAACGCCTCTTACACGTAAAATCACTGACATTACCCTCGAAATCTCAGCTGTATGCTTTCACATTAGAGGCAGTTTTACACTATTGAAGGCAAGCTGTTTAGAGGTGTCTGCTTTATCAGCTGCGAGTCTGAAATCACAATGACCCAAATGAGCTTTTCTGCAAAAAAACGAACCAAAACTGCAGCAGACTTCTCGTCCCAGATTAATGTGCCTTCTGGCTGACACAAGATGCTTTTTGCAGTCATACATTTTGGCAGAGGAGCTTTTATTTAATAAAGCTGAGTGCCTCAGTGTCCTTCAGAAGGAGGTGCCTTCTGTCCACGTGCTGAATTATGATGTCTGGCCTGACAGGAATTTTAAAATTCAAAGCTCAAGGTGCCCTTTCCGAAATTCAGCCGGAGCCAATTTCTGTCTCGCCAAATACACCTAATGTGCACATTTGCGTGTTTGCCCAATGCTCAATTTTCTTGATGAAAAGGGTGTTTTTAGGCTTATTTTATTAAGAGAAGGAACCATCGGAGGCTGCGTGAGGCCCTCTTAGCATTGGGTTTGCATGATGATTGGATGGATATGGATCTGATTCATGGATGTCCACAGATTGATGTCTCCCCAGGGTACAGCACCTGACCTCCCTACATATTAGCATTCCCTGAAGACACGGGCTATATGGAGGCCAATTAGAGTAAATGGACTCGATTGGGTGCTCTTTACTGGGGGTGCATTACCTAGATTGTTTTATGCGAGGAGTAAGTGGAAGAGAGAGAGGGTGAGAGACAGAGAGAAAGATAAGACTGTTCATGTATGTGCCCACATAATGCTAAGGAATAGGTTATTGCTCACTAAATACCGCAGTATACACCGTAAACTGCCTACCTATTTAAATATTATTGCAAGCGTTGTCCAGTTGTATCTCGGATGTTTAACCCTATAGAGCCTACTTCACTCTAAAAAATGCTGGGTTGTTTTAACCCAAATTTGGGTCAAATATGGACAAACCCAAATGTTGGTTTAAAAATGTCATTAAAAAAATTCACAGTCGAAAGTGAAAGTTGAATGTGGGTTAAAATGACATTTTTAACCTAACATTTGGGTTTGTCCATATTTGACCCAAATTTGGGTTAAAACAACCCAACATTTTTTAGAGTGTTTGATCAACATGATCAAAACTTTGCTGAAAAAACAATACTGTTACAAAAATCTTGTTGATTTACATTACAAGCTTTCAGAATTTCATCTTACTTTTTCTCCATTTGTTTTTCATCTTCGAATATGAGCACTTTATTTTCCATATTCTTTTATATCATACCATTTGAGCCATAAAAGCCTGATGTCAAATGCATTGATACCGTTTATGATTTACATTGCAGGCCATCAGAATTTCGGCACTTTATTTCCCATATTATTTTATACCATACCATATGAGCCATAAAAGCCTAATGTCAAATACATTGATTCTTAAATAAATTAAAAAAAAATTAAAACTATTGAGGATTTTTATTTATTTATATTTGCTCTAAAGGTTCAATACTGTTCCATTTGGAAAAAAAAAAAATCATAATAATAACAATATGGCTTTACAGGGTTAAATGGATATTTTTCAAGCAAAACTAACTAAATAAATACAAATATGTTTTTTTCATGTTTTACTTGTAGCAGTCTGATTAAAAAAAATAGTTTTGAATAAAATTCAGTTTAAAAAAACCAAACAAGTTCTGAAGCAATCGCTATTCGCTAGTATATCTGATTATCCAATAAAATAACCTCTGGAGTGCCATGGATTTCCACTAACCCGACAAAACAAATATATTAACAGCATTTCTGACCTTTCACCCCAATTAATATAGATCATGCTCCAGCATTCAAAAAAGTGAGTAGGCCAGCTGAAGGGGCATTCACACTGACAGTTATGAATGTGTCGGAGAGTCTCTGTGCTGTCGGTTGCTAATAGAGGGCTTTCCCACCGTATCCAGCTGTATCTGCACTTCATGACCCGCCACTCACACACAACTCTCATAACACATTCTTTAATTTATCCAAAATCCAACAAGGAGATACAAAGCAATAAGCTATGAACACAACTACGTAAAAACAAAGACAAAAATGTGAGCTGGGATCGATTTGACAACGTTGTCGTCTGAAAAACACAAAGGACAAACCTTTCTGTTTTTAGTACATCGTTGGTGTGTAAACGTACCCTAAAACTTAACATAATAATTAGCTAGCATGCTAACTGAAAGGATAAACCAGATCTGAATGTGCCAAAAAAAGAAAAGTATGTGAAAAGAGTTGTGTGTCTGAGTTCAAGGTATTCAAAAAACACGTACCCAGATGACCTACTTCTTCCTGCAAGTTTCCGAAGTGCAATTTGATGGATAGGAGTTGTAAATGGCAGTTAAGTAACAAAACTGATGCTGTAAATCTCACGACAATGACAACATGTTGGATACAGTACATCAGGATTACAAAACACACATATGCATACTATATGTATGTAGTGGATAATCTTTCAGTTTAAATACAAAAAAAGTAATAATTCAATTTAAAAGACATGAATTTACATATTTTCATAATTAGTAAGACTACAAAAATGTTGAAAGCAATACTGCAGAAGACCACTGGTATCAGTCATTTGGGGTTCAAATAAAACTGTCTCAGAGACTCAGTAAGACTCAGTCATTTGTAAATCAGACTGCAATGATCTAACTATATCTTTCTTTTTATTCTTAATTGATGCGTGAAACGTGTCTTATGAGAGAGGAAAAGAGGTAAAAACGAGTCACAGATCATGACCGCTCACACAGGCACCTTAAAAAAAGAAAAACACTCAAAGCAACATTTAAAAAAAACAGTTTCCGTTGGAAACAGCCCTTTAAAAAGTCAACAAAAAGCCATGATGTGCTGACGAAGGCTAACTCAGCGCAGCTCCAAACCCCTGCCCTAAAGAAGACATTACGCTGCCAAATGTGGATTCCTAGCTTTTTTTCCCTCTTAACCCTTCTACCAAAAGCCCAACAGTCACTTAAGACAGAACAGTCTTTCATGTTAAGGCAATTCAAGTCGCACATCAGACCACCATATAAAAACTGATCTGAAGTAGTAGGATTAATATTTGATCTCTCTGAAAGTCAAACTACTTCTGGTTCCTGCTTACCTCATTGAAAAAAATCTCTGTACACGTCTTAGAAAGGCCAGTTTATTACAAATAAGCGAACTGAAGCTATGCTTTTTGAAATGGAATTTACACTGGCTAAAGGTCAGACACCTAGACGAATATTTTCAGATCTACTTTTTTACCATACCCTCCAACAGCTAAAAGGACGAGTAAAAAAAAAAATGTTTTTTTTAAAGAATTAATATAAGTGTGCAAATACTCTTAAGGGTCCCTTTTGACTTGAAATCTTGAAAAATTCAATATTTTCATCTATTTAAAAAAAAATCATCACGTTCTGGAATAACGGTCAGAACAACCTTCACATGGATTTTGGTACAAAGTGTGGTGGTGAGCTTTGTTGATATTATTTGTGATGGTAATGATTGGTAGTCAAATGCTCGGGGTTACTTAACTGTACCCTTGTTTACTAAAAAGAATGGAATGAGATTATGTACTGCTCAGCGCATTGGGAACATCTTTAAACGTTACCAGCTGTGAATATAGTGTGTAAAAATGTCAACAGAATGGTATTATAGCCTTGATAGATGACTTCATCGGCGTGCACCCGTGACGAAAGGCTATAGACCAACGCTACTTTTGCGTCATCGAAGGGTAACGCCCCCTTTTGGGGGAAAACACCTCTATACTGTCTATGGGAAAACAAACGGATTCCCATGAGAACAGAACTCGCACTAGATCTGCAAAGTTTCTTGATAGCAAAAATGGCACAAACTTAAAGAAGCTAACGTTACTGAATACGGGGTTACAGAGGTGTCCCTTTGAAATGGTCGAAAACTGGATTAATGACCCCACACAGCGGCCAAATATGGACTATTCAGACATCTAACGTTACCACTATCTCGTGGAATCACCAAGTAAGTAGCCTTTTTTTTCATTAACACTCACAGTATGACAAACTAGACGATGAATGGATCATATTTAACTTGATTTAAGCTATTGACATAGTCTAATAAGGTAACGTTAGCTGCTAACAGCTAGTCTTTCTAATAGCTAGTCGACAACAAAACTGTCAATAGCTTAAATCAAGTTAAATATGATCCAAGTGACATGGCCTCATCGTCTAGTAGTTTGTAATAGGCTACTGTGAGTGTGTAAATGATAAATAAATAAAAAAGGCTACTTACTTGGTGGTGATTCCACGAGATAGTGGTAACGTTAGATGTCTGAATAGTCCATATTTGGCCGCTGTGTGGGGTCATTAATCCAGTTTTCGACCATTTCAAAGGGACACCTCTGTAACCCCGTATTCAGTAACGTTAGCTTCTTTAAGTTTGTGCCATTTTTGCTATCAAGAAACTTTGCAGATCTAGTGCGAGTTCTGTTCTCATGGGAATCCGTTTGTTTTCCCATTGACAGTATAGAGGTGTTTTCCCCCAAAAGGGGGCGTTACCCTTCGATGACGCAAAAGTGGCGTTGGTCTATAAATAGATGAGCCACAGGTGCATCGTCAGGATATTTTGTTTGAAGATAAGTTCTGGGACATCTTCTGCACGGCAAGGCAGCGCAGCATCTCATTCCGCTTTTTCAGGGAACAAGGGTTACAGTAAAGTAACTCCGGGCATTCCCTTTCAAAAGGTACAATCGATGCTGCGCTGCTCACCGCATTGGGAACAAAAATGCCCACGCCGCCGTGCTTGGAGATGCCTGGACCCCTTACGTTGTGTAGGTGTGTTCACAAGAACGCAAGAAGGCCCTAGACATTAGCTTGAGATCTCGACTCAAGGACATGAGAGCCTGGAGTGGCATGAACATCCAAACTATAAAATCTTATGAATGTGTGCGGAGAGGACCAGTCTGCCACATCACAAACAAATTGCAAGGGGGAACGCCTTGCCAAAGCAGTAGAGGGTGAGTGAGCTCTTAAACCCGTTGGCGAAACTTGAACGTGCGCCCCATAGGCAAGCATATAGCAATAGCAATAGCATCCCTGACCAAATAAGACATGGTCTGCTTGGTGGCAGCAGCCCCTCGTTCGCAGGCCCCATAACAGACGAACAGTTGCTCTGACTTACTCCACTGGCTAGTGCGGTGGATTTAGGCCTGAAGAGGATGGACTGGACAGTCTGTGAGATCTCTCCTGTTCCGGCGTTGTCAAGGGTGGAGGGCAGAAGGCCTCAAGAGTGACAGGATGTACAGTCGAAAAAGGAACCTTAGGCAGGTAATCAGGATGAGGATGCAAAATCACTTTCACCATTCCTGGAGCAAAGTCTAAGCAGGATGGCGAGACCGATAGTGCCTGCATTTCCCTGATTCTTCTTTAAAGAAGTTATTGCCATTAGAAAAACCATCTTAAGGGACAGAAATTTGTCAGACGCTGACTCAAGAGGTTCAAAAGCAGTCGCAACCAGACCCTCGGACCCAACTTAGTCCCATGACGGCATCTCGGTTCTTGTTGGAGGCCTCAAAAACGAGCAAGCAGAGGATGCCTCCTGAGGTGTGGCAAGCCGAAAGAGTGGCCACATAAACCCTGAGAGTGGCAGGGCACATGCCTGCTGACAACTTTTACTGCAGAAAATATAGAACTGAAGCAATCCTAATTCTTTCTAGTGGAGTTGGCCCTAGCACTCAGAATGGTCTCAATAACATCAGACGAAAGCCCAGTGTCCCTCAGTTGGTACCCATCAGTGGCCAAACATGAAGGTTTCACAGGTCGAGCCTGGGATAGAATATTGTGCCCTCCGCCTGGGACAGAAGGTCCCTCCTCTCCGGAATCGCCCATGGGGAGGAGAGATATTATCTCCGAAACCATACTCCGTTCGGCCAACGTGGCACTATTAGTAAGAGGCAAGACCCTTGCTGGCGAACTCTGGCTAGAACTTTTGGGAGCAGAGCGACTGGAGGAAACGCATACATTTGGGCCATGTGCCATCGTGTCCAGACTCAGGGGGGCCGGGTGACTCATACCTCTTTTCCATCAACAAGAACCAGGTGCTGGTTCAGAGCTAGAGCTAGTGTCGGTTCGGAGTTGGTTTGGCCTTTCCACAGGCTAGAGAGGCCATCACAGAGCCAGATCTTACGTCACTGTATACATCTCATGTTGCCCAGCAACGCTAGCGCAACAAACACAAACACACCAGGCTTGTTCAAGATGGTTCGGCGCTGTGAATCTCGAACTGCGAGAGTGATTCAAAAGCAGAAGGAGTCTTATGCTCTCCAAACACTCCTGCAGCTCTGATCAGTCCCTTCCATCAACAATGGCGGTCGTTGCGTTACTATTTATGCTCATGGCTTTGCAAACCTACATCGGTATCCAAATACGGTAAATCCAGCACGTCTGTGCAGCTCGCCGTAACTTGCTTTAACGGAGATTACAATCGAGCTGCTATTAGCGTGATTAGCCGCTATTTAAAAAATGGCGGTCACAAGTTTCTGTTCGTCTTGTTGGTCACGGTAACCCCGCCCCCAGACGCTGACGATTCTTACTTCTAGACCTGCGATGATTTGGTGCTACTTAAGAACCACTTTTACTGGTTCGGAGCTGGTGCTTTGGTGGTCGAAAAACAAAGAACCGATTTGAAACTAGGCTCTGGCTCCGAACCAGCACCAGCTCTGCCTTGGTGGAAAAGGGGTATCAGAGAGAAGTAGAGGGGACATTGCGATGTCTACCTCTGCTTTGTAAAATCTGGTCCAGATCTGTTTCACTACTTCTGGGTGGAGTTTCCATTTCCCCATCGATAGTTTCTGTCTGGACAGTAAATCCGCTAACACATTCAGATGCCCTGGAATGTATATTGCTCTGAGTGACAGGAACTTGTCCTGGGCCCAGAGAAGAATCTGTCTCACTATTGTGTTCAGATTGCGTGAGCACAGACCTCCCTGGTGATTAATGTGAGAGACTATCAAGAGATTTATAATGTTACAAAATGTTTCTATTTCAAATAAATGCTGTTCTTTTTCTACTATTCATAAAGCAACATTGATAATGATAAGATATGTCTCTTGAGCAACGAATCAGTGATTCAGTAATGATGTTGAAAATTCAGCTTTGCGTCACAGGAATACATGATATTTTAAATACATCAAAAACAGAAAACCAGTATTCACAACATTCACACTTCACAACATTACTGAAAATCTTCCCATTCATGGAAGAGTAGCTCTTTAGGTTTGAAAAATGAGAACTTATGCCATTTGTTGTCACTGACGTCAAAATCTAATGTGACACCTCTTGACTTGCCATATTTAAATATATTGCACTGAATGCGATTCGAGAGCTACAGCAGACTAATGAACTACTATTATGGTGGAATTGTGTCCTTCAGTCACTGGTCACATGTATAATGTCAAAAGAGCAGCTTGGCAGTCTGCTAAATGTCTCCTTTTGTGTTTCAAGGGAGAAAAATAGTCATTCAGGTTCATGATGACATGAGGGTGAGTAAAGGATGACCGAATGTTTATTTGAGGTGACTTCTGCAGTTTGGCCTGGGCTGTGCATTGAAATATTATAAATGTAAATATTTAATAGTGTTCATTTTATCGTGTAAAAATAATGCTAATCACAGGTGTACTGTTTGTTGTCTAACTTACCCTACAGTACTCGTTTATGGGTTTCAGACGTTTCATTGCCACGTCTCTGATGTGGCTTCTCCTGAAGAGAATCTTTCCTGTTAGGAAAAGAAGACAATTATTATAAACACACCCTGCATTCATCAGCATCTTCATTCTCAAATTCATCAGCACTCTTCACAGGGGTTGAAAGGCAAAAGGGAAACTTTTGGGAATGTCCCTTCATGCTTTATGACCATTTTATCAGATGTTGGAAGAGACCACAAGCATGAAACTTGCCCAAACAAAGATTGTGGCCTATAAAACAATACCAAGAAATGAACACAAATGAGACTCTTAAGTTTTATGACTCATATCCTGCTGAAATAAAACCATATACTGTGGTCCCTTTTTGCTGAATGTAGTAAAACATTTTTTTTTTTTTAAGTAAAACATGTGGGAAAACAACTAGGCTATCCCACACAAGACCCTAGGGTCATAGATCTTTTAGCAATGGCACATTCAGGAGAACGAGGCTTAAAAACACCTTGGTGTGTGTGATGTGGTGTGTATGTGTTGGGTTACTGCCCCGGACCTCATGTGCTGAGTGGAGCTGGGTAGAGTCCACACCCTCTCACAATGGCCTCGGATTGGCCGATTTAAAAACAAACCCTGTTACACCTGGCATTATTGGCCACCTCAAACGATTCAATGATCCAAATGATCAAGGCAACGCAGACCATTTACACCTTGTATTTACATGTTGAGTCCTGTGACCACTTGTGTTCAGATTTCTCTCTTTACCAGGTCCATAGATCTTAGGGGCTTTTTACACGACACCGTTTACAACTAAAAACTGAAAACTTTTTATGCGTTTTGGCCATTCATTTTGGGTGCCAGTATACGCAAACTTTTGACAATGGGTTTCGAAGTGCACGTTTTTTGAAAACGGTCTCCGTGTAAACAATAAAAACGCAAATCTCTGAAGTCGATGACATCATGCACATGCGTATTATGTTCAGTCTACAGTGTTTCGACACCGTCTAATGGCTTGGCAGAAGAATACAGTATTTTAGTCGTTTTCGCAGTTCCGAGTGAATGGGGATCGTTTTGACTATGGTGTCGTCTGTACACAAAAAACTCGAAAAGGATAAACTTCTCAATTGTAAGTATCTCGTTGTTGTGTAAATGTACAACTTTTAGCGCTTAGCTTTTTGAAACGGAATTTACATTGGCTAAACGTCAGTTTACACCCTGATGAAAATTCAGTTTTTTCACAGAGAGATGTTTTAATCACTTTTCCATTGCACTGCGAAGAAAACTGTCCAACTGAAAGTTGCATAGTGATTTGTGTACCAGAGTGTACTGAGGTATTTCTGCTTTTCTATAGCCTAAGCATTACTTCCTCTCAGAAAGTTTGCACCATATTTAGCCTATGAACAGACAATTCAAATGTGAAAATTTGACTGAATTTTTGGGACAAACATTTACTGTATGTCAGTGTGATCAGGCCTTAAATTGCGTGTGTGAGAGAGTGGTAGAGTGCCTATTTTTTTCTTAACATATTTTGTTCTGACAAGGACACTTGACAATAATAAATCTGATAACTGTCTTTCACAGTAGAAACATGCGATGATACAAAAAGGTATATATATGTATATATAGTCACGTTTATGGTGGCTTAGAAAGCACACGACAAAGGAGATAGCGAAAGTCTTTAACACAAAAGAATACGACCATGTTAACACAAACAATTACTGACAAAAGACTGCACAGAAAATGGGAGTATAAATACACATAGTAAATGAGGACACTAAACAGGAACTGCAGGATGAAGATCAGAAACCATAGTAACTAACAAGAACTTGACAGAAAAGACAGGAATGACTAAATGGAACATAACTATGACATTATGCCCCCTCGGAAAGGTGCGTCCTCGCTAGGGTTGGGTATCGAGAATCGA